CCTCCAGCTCGGACTTCAGCTCTTCGTAGTAAATCGTCATATTCTCGTCAATGAGCTCGAAGTTCGTAGAGTTCGGGTTCACGTTGTAGGCGAGGCCAATGAAAAGATCTTCGTCGGTGCCATCCTCGTTCTCGGGTATCGTCAGCAGGCCAGCAGTGTGGGGTCCAGGTCGTTGCGTATCTCGCTCGGCGGGGGGCTGGCGGTAGGTTGCCTCGTCGGCCTTGGAGTACATCCGCCAACGTCGGCCAGGATTGCCAGCGGAAGATGCTGGAGTTGGGGCCGCTGGCGACGTCGAGCGCATCTGCTTGGAGGCAGGCTGCTCGATGGTCGAGATAGTCGAGGGAGAGGTCGGCGAAGACTCAGGTGGTGTCGGTTCACCAGCGGGTTTGGATTGTACCTCTGCTCCTGCGGGTCCTGTAGCGTCTTCGATCATCGGCTCGGTGATGTCAGGGTTCTCCGGAGGCTCGGCCGGCCTGATGGCCCGTGGCTCGCAATCTCGAATGTTCGGGTGGATGTCGGAGGTGAGGTCCTCGAAGGTGCCGCGGCGCGCCGCCTCCATCAGGTCAGACATGGTACCTCCTCTCCTTTCCATGTTGTTCAGCTCGACGACCGTGCGGTCCGCTTCCGTGGCGGGTCTCAGCTGGTCTGGTGCGCATCGTGGGAGAACGTCGCCGTGGGGGGCCCAGATGACTGAGGTGGGCCGCGATGGGCGATGGACCTGCTGGGAGGCGTTGCTCCTGCATCCGCGCCCGGGTCGGGCCGTGCCAGGTGGCCTTCGCGGGTCCGCGTCCCTTCCGCAAATCGTAGCTGTGCTCGCCGGTGTTCCAGCGAGTAGTTATGCGGCTGCGCGCATGTTCTGCGTGTCGGCGCCGTTCGGAGTACTCTACGTCGATGAAGCTCTGCCGGGCCCGAAGGCGTCGTTGCCCTCTGCTCTCTCCGTTCCCGTCGTTGATGATCGCGAGGGGATTGCCCGCAGCTTGGGCGCCTCCGATGCCGAAGGCGCTCGCGAACGGGGAGTGGTTCCCTACCTTGTCAGGGTCGTTGATGGCGTGAACCACCTGGCTGATGGCCTCGTCTATGTCACAGTCGTGGCCCTCTTTCCTCAACTTGGTGGGCGTGCGCTTGGAGAGCTGAATGCACCGCCCCACCTTGCCCATGAGCCAGTGCGCTTCTCCAGGCGCAATGAACATCTCGATCCCGCGGGAGCTGCGCCAGCTCTTGGTGAGCTCTGCTCGGTGACGCCCTTCAGCATCGCGGCGAATCAGACGAGGAGCCCGATGGTGGTTGGTCCACGATCTCCAGGTCTCGAACAGATCTGCGGCTGAGCGATCCCCCGGCCGCTGAGATTTATCGCCATGGTAGGTGACCTGGGTTAAGCCTGACCCCCCGTCGAGGTTGAGCGTCAGGAGGTAGACCGCGTCGTCCGTTGGGTCGGTCCATTCCAGACCGTCGCTGCCCGCCACCTCCAAGACCTCGGGAATCTCGGTGCCGGCGGCGGTCCGGGCAGCTTTCGGCAGGACGGACGAGTTGCAAGCGTGACACTTGAAACTCTTCGCCGTCTTCATCACCTAGAGGCTAGCCCCCGAGTTCTTCAGGGCCCTGGACATCGTGCGAGCACTGGGGTGACCCAGGTTCCGATGTAGCCGATTGAGACGGTGCTCGATCTCCTGCTCCTCCTGCGTGGACAACTGGCTCTCGTCCTTAATGAGCTCCGCGAAGTCGTTCTCCTCGAAACCGTCGTCGGACCCGGGTGGGGCCTCCATGTTCAGGTCCTCGTCTTCTGCGGTGCCCTCGTAAATCAGCTCGGTCTCGTCCTGGTCCGCGGCTGGCAGAGTCGCCGCACCTGCAGTGGCGTTGTCTCTTGTTCGGAGGATGTGCTTCGCCCATGCCTTGCGCATCGCCTCGGGGTAGAACGCTGTCGATGCCGCCGCCTTGCCGCCCGCGATCTCCCCGTGCTCATGGTTGTCGTTGCTGCCAGAGCGGTTGCTGCACCGCTTCCCGATGGCTTTCTGGAGCTCGGGGTCAGTCGAGCAGACCCGCCAGACTTCGCGAATCAGCAGTCCATGTCGAGGGCATCGAAGACTGTGCGCACATCCCGAGACCAGGGTCTCGTAGGTCTGCTCGCGGATCCGCTTGGGGGCCGAGGGCCGGGGCCAGCTCTGGGATCGTCGAGGCAGCTCAATGTCGACCTCGATCCCAGGGTACTGGGGGCCAACCGAGAGGAGGGTCTTACAGCCTGTCTGAATCCGGCGTTCGTTTGTTCCCTGCCAGTGCAATCGCAAGCGGTTCGGCAATATGCGCATGTACATTCAGCTCGGCCTGTCATTCAGCGCGTGAAATACAACTAAGCTTGACACGCGCACGCGAAACGGGCATCTGCCTTCAACGCGTGCCTAAGATCTCAAGACCGGGGAACATGGAGAAATCGGGCGTCGCGTGCGTGGCCATGAATCGCATCAATTCGTCGCGACCGGATGCGCGTGCACAGAAATACAGAACGCACCGAGGCGCAGCTTCCAGTTTAGCCGCGGTGACGGTAGCACGGCTATCCAAGGCAAAACTCATGTCAGTTATCCTCGTCCATTCAGACGGGTCGTCGTTAACGACGTCTTTTGAGCCATCCAAGACCCGTCCGCCACCGCTTCCCCTTGTGGTGCGGCTGCCGTCGAAATGAGCCTGGTAAGAATGAAAATCTGGCACGTCGCCTGCGGGTGTGATGTACTCAGCATGCGTATCAGCATGCCGACCAGCCATCGCATCCGCCTCCTGGTTGAGTTCGCGAAGAACGTGTCGATACCAATCAGAATGAACTTGGTGCGGTTGGAAACAGAGATCTCTTGACAAACGTTCAACAACACGATGTAGAAACTGAAGCCTCGCATCGTAAACCGGATGATTGCACATCCATGCCCCGTTAATCCATTTACAATCAACATTCTATCGGCCATCTGAACCGGCGAGCTTGCTGGATCTTCCTGCGAAGGCGTTCCAGATCAGCTTCGGTCTTCTGGTTCCAATATTTCAAGTGGCAGTCGGCCGTGCACGGAGGGCTCATGACGATCCTGCGAGTTCGGTGCTTTTGTAACCAGTGAGCCAGTCGTCGAATTCCCGTCTTGGTGCCCATGTCGAAGCCGTTGTGGGCGCCTGCGCGAAAGGCGCGGCCGCCCAAGTCGATCGCCGCCTGGGCCAGTCGGGGCGTCGGCGGCGTGCAGACTTCCAGCAGGTCGTACCGCCCGTGGCTGGCCAGCAGGTTGACGTCGTCCCCGATCTCCTTCGTGTAGTCCAGGTCGTACTGGTCGATAGCTTGCTGGAAAGTGTCCAAGTCGTGGCTGTTCAGAGCTCCTCTCGGCCTCGCTTGGAAGCTGCCTCGGGCATCGCAGAGTCGTCCAGCATCCCGAAAAACTCCGACGAGGGGTCGTTTGCCAGCTTCTTCATGATCTTGATCAGCATGCGTTTCCAGCACATGTAGATTACCTCGGGCCTGCAAAGCAAGCTGACCTCGGAGCTCGCTGGCCCTGGCGGGCTTGCCATTCGTGGCTTCGCTTCTCCCGCCTGTGCCAGCTGCTTCTTCCGAATCGGCGGGCGGTAGTTCTGCGCGAAATTCAGCGAGGGCTTGCTCGCGATCCTCAGTAGGCACGGGTGGGTCTCACCGCCCGTGCACGAGCAGCCGTTCTGCTTGCGACCTGGTTGACCGCAGCATCCGCACCTCTGAAAGCCCTGGGCACGAGTCTTCGCTGCCTGCACCAATGTAGCCGTGGGGTTGGCCCCGGCAGCATTCGGAATCACATCCTCTGGATGTGCAGAAGCGAACTCGTTTTGTATGGCCCTGGCCTCGTATTGGATCTGCGAAAAACTGGCTGTCGGAGATGACGGCAACCTCGCGTGGAATGGAGTCGTCTTGCGACCAGCTGGACGCTCCGGTGTTTGCGAAGGTGGCGGTGGCACAGCCGAAGGCGACGATCCCGTTTTTCGGCGGCGTGCCATCCGTTGGAGATGGATAATTCGAGAACCGCAAGGGGTGCCCAGAAGAGGCCCAAGGCGGCTCCAGGAGCGCCCACGAGCGCCCGAAGAGGGCTCAACGATGATGCAATCTTGGCTTCGGTCTTCGATGGGGGGGGCAAGTGAAGGACCAGACCTACCCCCCGTTGTCCTGGATGTATAGATCCACAGTAAAGCCCAACGGGAGCCCCAACGGCTGCCAAAATAGTCCCAAAATGCTCCAACAAATATCTAAACTCACTCGTGCCCCTCCTCCTTATCCTGCCACCTCCATCTTCATCCACCTCCTTCCTCTCCCTTCCTTCTCCACTTTATCATCCGTGTGCTGACCCCCTTCCTTCGACGGCAGACTCAACAATGCCACTCCTGGGTATGCTTAAATTGATTCCGAGCTTCGGCTTGACGGCTGCCTCACGTGTCTGTTCCACTGAATGCTCCCACCCATTCCTAATCAGGGCAGCTCGTCTGGCGATCGTTTCTGGATGGACTTTTTGGTCGCGGCCGCCAGCGAAGGCGCAGGCGGCGTCAAGGGTCGTCCTGGGCTACGGGCGAAACCTAATCATCGCTGGTGAGGAGACCCGAGCCGTCAAGAATACACACGCAATCTCTCCTCCCCCATAGCCACGCACATTCCTCCCTTGTTATGTTTTCTTCTTATTATTCTTCTTCTCCTCCTCCTCCTCTTCCTCCTCCTTCACCCTTCCTTATTTCCGCTCTCACCGCTCTCGTCCCGCCCATCCCCGCCATGTCTTTTCGCATGCTCTCCCCTGGAAGGTTTTTCCTGGCCATGTCGTCTTTTCCTCCTCCTTCTTTCGCCCTTCCTTAACTTTCTTCTTCCTCTCCCACCCCTCTCGTCCCGTCCTATCCCCTTTTCCCTCCTCTCATCCCATCCATCCTCTGCTTCGCTCAATCTTTCCACCGCTCCCTCCCTCCTCTTTCCCTTCCGCCACCCTCCTCCGCCACTCTCTTCCGTCCCCCTTCCTTCCATGCCCACCCGGCTCCTTGCTCCCGTTCAAGCATAAGATCACGGGGGCCGTGAGGTTCCCCTCCCGCAGGTCTTGCACCACAGGCTTCCCCATTTCCTCCACTGGCGGGGGGAAGGCTGCGGGAGAAAACAAGGATCTGGAAACAGATCGTCAAAATTCCATCGATAACAATGCTTGTTTGCCAAGGTACGCATTGAATGCCATTTCTATATTGAGTACTGCCCAGGGCGGCAGGCTGGCCTGATCATCTGGTTTGTCAGAGCTCCTTCAGGTACTCTGGCACACATAAAAAAGATGACCCCTGAAACTTTGGGAGGCTAGAGGCTTCAGAGAATATCGTGTCTTATGATATTGAGCCGCTGGGAAAACTTGGTATGCGCAGTGCCGAAACGGAATGAAGCAAATGCCATATTTGGACAGCGCTGGAGTCTGTCGTTGGAACGCCACCCTCAGCGTGCCAACAGCAGACTCCGAGGCTTGCCACGAAGGCTCTGACCCAATGGGGTGCAGCCATCGTGCGGTGCCTCCACTGCCAAATTGAGATAATGACCGCGCTGCCTGAATCTTTCTGTCTCTCTCTCTCTCTCTGTCTGCCTCTGCCTCTGCCTCTGCCTGTCCGTCTTTCTGCCTGCCTGTCTGTCTGTCTGTCTCTCTCTCTCTCTCTCTCGCTCCTCTCTCTCTCTCTCTGTCTCTCCTGACCCTTCCGAACTCACGATCCCGCAAGGCACCTCGAGCATGCCGGAATCCCTTCGCCCATCGTTCCGACGTGGACGCGCCGCATCCCTCGGATGCCCCGTGCACGGGGGGCCACCACAGCGGGGGGGGGGACAGAGACGAGAGACACGCACCCTTCGTGCCTCCCTCGGGCCCGCGGTGGCAGCCTCGGGGCCACCTGGGGCTCGAGGGAGGAGGGAGGAGGGAGGAGGGAGGAGGGAGGAGGGAGGAGGGAGGAGGGAGGAGGGAGGAGGAGGAGGAGGAGGAGGAGGAGGAGGAGGAGGAGGAGGAGGAGGAGGAGCCCCCCTGGGCGCCCCCATGCCAATACGGCCCCACGGCGGCCGAAGATGGCCTCCGAGGCGCTTCCCGAGACCCCGAGATGGCACCCCCCGTTGCCGTCCGCTTCGCCCAGGAAGGCGCCTGATGTGCTCTGGGGGCCCAACCGATTTCCCGGCGCTCCAATTCTTTCGATGCGTGGACTCCCGGAGGTTTGGATCACTTCCCAAGAGCCGGCTTTTCACCCAGAGTCGTTTTACGACGGTCCTGGCGCCCGTTGAGGGCTCCCCAGAAGCCGAAAACTGTCCCAAACCGGCCGCTCCAACTTGCTCGGACTTGCCATCGCTCGGACGTCCTGAATAATCTCGTCTTCCACTTCGGGCATCGGTTTACCGCTGGTCTCCAATCGAGCGGCCGCCGATCCGGAGCAGCGCTCCCGCACCCCCACCAGCCCTGTCAAAAAGCAACGCGGCGTGCCTGTTGCGGCACACGCTGGACCGTGCACGGGCGCCCCGCCATCACTCTGCATTGCCTTTTCCTGGGAAGGGGGGTGGAAGCATCTGGCGAGTGGAGCATCGGATCTCTGGGGGGGTGGGCCCCAGCGCGAGACGGCGCTCGGTCTGGACCAGCACGCTCCTGCGACACTCCGGGGCGCTTTTGCACGGAGGGCCGCCAACGCCGGACGCCAGAGGGCACGTCCAGAGCGTCCCTCTGGGCAGACTGGCAGGCTCCAGCCTGCTTTTTGCCTGGCGAGCTGGACAACCAATTTTGAAGCACAAGATTGAGGAGGAGGAGGAGGAGGAGGAGGAGGAGGAGGAGGAGGGGAAGGAGGAGGAGGAGGAGGAGGAAGGAGGAGGAGGAGGAGGAGGAGGAGGAGGAGGAGGAGGAGGAGGAGGAGGAGGAGGAAGAGGAATCTCTTTGGTCGGCGCTTGGACCCCCCTTCCCACAGCCCCTTCCCTGGCACGCGCCAGGGTCGGCGCTGGAGGCGCCGCCCGGGGATGCGGGAAGAGGGGGCTCAGCGCCGATCGAAAGAATCCACGCAGAGTTCCGAACACTGCTCTTAAGTCGGGCGTGTTCCCCTACAGGGGGATTTTCGACCAAAAATAAAAAATACAAAAAGTGCACCAAAATTGCCAAACAAATATTCAAAACATAGTCCCCAAACTATGTTTTGACTATTTTTGAATATTCCCCCTGTGCAGGGAAAGGCCCGACTTAACACTGCTCTTGTAAAACAATTGTTCGATCCCCGATGCGCACCACGACCATTTGTGGGCCTCAACCGTGTTCGAACACCGACCGCTCGGACTCACCCCGCACTCTTTCTGTACCCTGGCGAAGATCCTGTCCGTCGCCCGTGAAGTCGAGGATGTCGTCGGCAATCTGGAACGCGATGCCAAGGTAGAAGCCGTAGCTGTACATGACGTCGCAGACCTCCCTCGTCTGATCCGACAGCACCGCGCTGGCTCGGCACGATGCCGCCAGCAGGGACGCGGTCTTGTAGAAGCTCTTCCTCAGGTAGTCGAACAGCGTGATGTTCGCATTGAAGCGCTGAGAACCCTGCGGCGGGACGCGTGAGACGTGGGGGCCTGGCTTACAGCCGAAGTGTGGCCACAAGAGCGTGGGTCAAGAACCGGAGAGACCTTACCGAAAGCGTCCAATGTGGCGAGCCCAAACACGAAGAAGGGTACCCTTCCAATGATAGCGTTGTTCTTAGCCCTCGTGCCAGCTGCAACCAGGAGGCCGTCCGACACTGCTCGAGCACGCGCCTGCCGAGGCCCAAGCCACTCCGCGGGCCGACGATGCTTTCCCCAAGAGGCCAGATGCTGAAGAGCCGCCCGCTCGCCTCGCTTCAAGCCCGCCTCATTGATTATCCTTTGTAAAATCGATGTTTTTCGCGTTCTCGCGTTTTCGGGCTTCCGACGCTCCAAGATGGCTCCAGAGGCCCCCAGAACGGTCCAAAAGGGCCCCAAGACGGCCCCAAGGGGGGGAACACGAACCGACAATTCGAGCTTTCCGCCCCAAGAGCTCCCAAGAGGCCTCAAAATTGCCTCCAAGAGGCCCCCGAGAGGCCTGCCACGATATCCAAACGAATATCCAAGAGGCCTCTGCCCCACAACCCAAGCATGGTGGCGGGATAGGCCGAATGCCACTCGTATCCGCTGCCCCCTGTTGGCTTGCCACAGGGGAGCCCGGCGTACTAAATCCTATCGCTCTTGGGTTGGGTTTTTTCCAGAAGAGCTCTCCCCTAGGGCTTGGGCCAGTTCCGCCGGGGTGCCCCTCTCGTCGGCGTTTTCGCTTAAGATAACTCAAGATGGCATCATGGCCTCCAAGATGGCCAAGCTGGTCAAAGATGGTTTCTAAGATGCCTCCAAGACCTGAAGATGGTCCAAGATGGCCTCCTAGACGGCCCAAGAGGGTCCAAGATGCCTCCACGTCGGCCCAAGAAGCCTCCAAGACGGCCCAAGAGGCCCCCAAGCGACCTCCAAGGCGGCCCAAGAGGCCTCCTAGAGGGCCTCCGGGAAAGCCAGAAGAGGCTGAAAACATTGATTTCCCACGGATTTTGAAGGATTTTGGCATTTGCTTCTTTTCGGCCTTCCGACGGCCCGACACGGCCCGAGAGCTCCCCAAGATCGCCCCAAGATCGCCCGAAAGATGGCCCCAGAACGGTCCAAGAGGCCTCCCAGACCGCCCCAGGAGGGCCCAAGAGGCGTCCCAGACGCCCAAGACGCCCAAGATGGCCTCCAAGACGGCCCTGGAGCACCCCAAGAGGGCCCCCAGTCGGCCCAGAGAGGCCCCCAAGACAGCTTCCGACGGCGTCAGACGGGCCAGGAGCCTACCAAGATGGCCCAAGATGGCTCTAAGATGGCTCTAAGATGGCCGAAGACGGCCCAAGAGGCTCCAAGAGGCCTCCAAGACGGCCCAAGAGGCTTCCAAGAGGGCCTCCAGGAGAAGGCCCGAAGATGCCCCAATCATTTTTTTTTTTTTTTTTTTTTTTTTTTTTTTTTTTTTTTTTTTTTTTTTTTTTTTTTTTTTTTTTTTTTTTTTTTTTTTTTAAAAAAAAAAAACAATAATATGTATAAAAACGGATTTTGGCATTTGCTTCTCTTCGGCCTTCCGACGGCACGAGACGGCCCAAGAGCTCCCAAATATTGCCGAGAGGCCTCCAGGACGGCCAAAGAGGCCCCCAAGACGGCTCCAATAGGGCTCCCAGACGGCCCAAGAGGCCTCCAAGACGCCCCAAACGACCTCCAAGACGGCCCTGGAGCACCCCAAGAGGGTTTCAAGTCGGCCCAGAGAAGCCCCCACGACGGCTTCCGACGGCGTCGGACGGGCCAGGAATGCCCTGAGACAGCTAAAAAGGCCTCGGGGAAGCCCTCAAAGGCCTCCAAGAGGCCCAAAGGGGCCCCCAAGATGCCTCCAAACGGCTCCCAGGAAGCTCCCAGGAGGCCCGTGCCCCCACAGGCTCCTCAGATGCCTCCTCCTCCTCCTCCTCCTCCTCCTCCTCCTCCTCCTCCATTCCTTTCCTTACAACTGATTTTTCCCTGTCGCACCCCGAGCTAGTTTTTAGGGCGGGCCGGGCGTTTCGCCTGAGACTTCCTCACCATTGATGACCCTGAAACTTTAACGTTGACAACAGTTTCACAGATGGAGGGCGGGTGGTTTCCAATATGTGGCTCTCACCTTAGCGCAACGCGCGTTCGAAAAAAAAAACAAACTGCAAGCGAGCGCTTGACGAATTGAGGGCGAATGGTTTTCAAACTGTGGCTCTCGCCCTAGCCCCTCGCACATGAGTTTGATCTTTTTTTGTTGTTTAGCAGTTTTTTTTTTTTGTTGGGGGGGGGGTCTTTCTTCTTTTTCTTTTTTTTGTTTGCTTGGTTTTGGTAAAACAGCATATATATAACAAACAGTTGTAAGAGTTTCAAGGATATAGGGCGCTTCTTTTTCAAAAGGTGGTCCCTGCCTTCGCGCCGCGCACATTTTTGTCTACATTTATGTATATGTATATGTATGTGTGTATATATATACACACTAGAACCATCGCGCGCGCTTTGCGCGCGCTCAAGTTCTAGCTAGGCTTGATCGGGCAACTCATGTAATCTCATGTTGATCGCTTCCTGCGTCCAGGGACTCCCTTGGAGGCCCTGCGCAAGCCTCGAAATCATATAGAAGAGGAAGTGCGGAAACGCAGAAATCATTAATTATTTCTTCAGGTATTCAACGATTTGGGGCCCTCAAAGGCTTCCTGGGTTTTTTTGGGAGATAAGGGGGTCTGAATTGAGGTCTGTTGTGCAAGAGTAGGCCAGGGGCCAAAGTTGAACAACAAAAACAAGAAGGAATTGTGGGATTACTATTTTTTTCCAGTTCCCCGGCGCTGTTCGGCGCTGTTTTTTGTTTGTGCCTCGCGGGTTTTGTTAGCTGGGCCCCTCAGGGGTGTGGGATCTTCCGGACCCCCTGGGGGTTCTGGAGGCCTCCTGGAGGCCTGGCCCTCGGAAGGGTGTCTCGGGCTGCGCGGGAGCGTGTTGGGCCGTTCTTCACGTTCTGGGGGCTCCTCGGGGTCGTCTTGGGCTGTCCTTGGGCGTCTTGGGGGCCCCCCGGGAAGCCAGGAGGCGCGGTACTGGCCAGATGTCAGGGGATGTGCGGGATCTCCGAGTCGGAGTCCCACTTAAAAAAAACCCGGGAATTCTGGGAAGTTTTTTTTTTTTTTTTTTTTTTTTTTTTTTTTTGTTGTGTAAAAAAACAAATCCTCGATCATCTTCGAGGGTTCGAAGCGGGAAAACTTCAAAGGCGAAAAACATTAGAAAAAACAATGGGAAATCAACGATTTTACCCTCTTTGGGCTCTCTCGGGACGGCTCTCGCAGCTCCCTTGGGCTGTTCTTGGAGCCTCGTCGGGGTCTTGTCGGGGCCACTCTCAAGGATCGGGGGTGTGTTGGGGGCCTCTGGGGGGTACTGGAGGCCTCGTGGAGGTCGCTGGAAGCCTCCTGCTCCCGCTCTTGGGCCCATTTTGGGCCTGTTCTGGGGTAGTCTGGGGCTATCCTGGGCGCCTAGCTCGAAAACGCGAGAAGCCAAAAACATTGAAAAACAAGTGGGAATCGACGATTTGGGCCTCTTCCGGCCGTCTCGGGACGCCTCTCGGACCTCTCTTGGGGAGGCCACCTGGGAGCCTCGAGAGCCGTCCGAAGGCTGACTTGGGCTGCTTGGGAGGCGTCTTGGGCCCTCCTGGGGCGCTGTGGAGGCTCCCCGGAAAGGCCTCTTGGGCTCCTGGGGGGCGTTCTTGGGCGGTTTAGGCGTGGGCCGTCTTGGCCCCCTCGTGGGCCGTCTTGGGGCCCTCTTGGGGGCATCCTCGACCGGCTTGGGTGCCTGTTGGGCCGTCCTGGATGCAGTGGACGCCCAAAAGGCAAACACGCCAAAAATATCAGTTTCCCAATCGTAAATCGACGATTTTTGCTTATTGGGCCATCTCGGGGTGTCTCTTGGGGCGTCTTCGGAGCCTCTTTTGGTGTTTTTTCGGGTCTCATGGGGGCCTCTTGGGGCTTCTGGGCCCCTTCTTGGAGCCTCTTGGGGTCTCCTGGGGGTCTCTTGGGCCAAATCGCCCAGACTTCCGGTTCCTCGTCTCCGTCTTGGGCGCCGCCTTGGGGTGTTCTTGGGCGTTCTTGGGCGGTTTAGGCGTGGGCCGTCTTGGCCCCCTCGTGGGCCGTCTTGGGGCCCTCTTGGGGGCATCCTCGACCGGCTTGGGTACCTCTTGGGCCGCCCTGGACGCAGTGGACGCCCAAAAGGCAAACACGCCAAAAATATCAGTTTCCCAATCGTAAATCGACGATTTTTGCTTATTGGGCCACTCTCGGGGTGCCTCTTGGGGCGTCTTCGGAGCCTTCGGGGGCCTTCTTGGCGTCATGGGAGTCGTCTTGAAAGGCGTCTGGAGCCATCGCTGCGGCCTCCTTGGGCCTCCCTGCAGCCTCTTGGGGCGCTGTTGGCCCCGGGTCGCCGAAACCCTGTAAAAGCACAGGGAAAACGACGCCCGGTACCCCCAGGCCCAGTCGAGGTCGCGATCCTGGGCCCACGGTCCTCGTCCCCCGGGATATATATATATATATATATATGTATGTATGTTTATATATATATATATGTGTGTGTAGGTAAATCTGTATGCAACACTTTGCAAGAGTTTCACGGACTCCTATGATCAGAGTACACGGAATGGTTTTGTGGAAAGATTCAGGACTTTGATGGAGCAACATTTACGTTGAGTCGCGGTGTTGGAGTCCCAGAAATGGCGTTCTGGCACGATTCAGGATCGCCAAGACGGAACAGTCATGTTGATCCGTGGCGTTGGAATCCCGAGAACAATGCTTTGGCATGTTTCAGGGTCTTCAAACGGATGTCTTCTTACGAAGCAGTTCCCTCAGTGGAAATGAACCCTGTAGGGGCCTGTGGAGAGGCAGCTTGGAGGGATGGCCAACATCGTTGATGACTCTTGGGTTTGCACTGGTCCTCCTCCTCCTCCTCCAACTCCTCCTGCTCCTCTCCTCCTCCTTCTGCTCCTCCTCCTCCTACTTCTCCTTCTCCTGATCTTCCCCGCCATCCCCCCCCAAAGGTTCCCCGAAGGGTTTCCACAACGGTTGGGGGAAGACGTGGTCCGATAGCTTGGCAAAGCTCTTGCCACAACGCTCGGACACGTGGGCGATTTCAGACCTCTTGCTCCCCCACGCGTTCCCCGAAGGCTTTCCAAACCGACTCGGGCAACAACTTGCCCGATAGCTTGGCCAAGCTCTAGCCCAACTGTTGGCCACATCGTCGCTTCCACAAAAGCAGGGGGCAGCGGTGATTCGCCGTAGGCGCAGTCGATATCACGGACGCGTCGTCGCGTGTGAACGTGCTTCTCGTTCCTGTTCTTTTGCCAGGGGGCTCCAGCCAAAGCGAGCAAAAGGAACCACTGGCTCGACGCTTCGACCCGCAACTGTGGCGAAGACCACGGGGCATCCCGAGGGGAGAGCGCGCCCCGCGAAGGAGGAGGGCGGCACAACCGCAGCCTCAAACGGACGACCGAGGCCGGGCGACCCGCGCGTCCCAACCTGCTTGTCATCACAACGTTTTCTCATTCGGCCTTTCAGCATTGGGCGGAAGGGGGGGTGGGTCTGGCTCTGGACCTCTGCTTGATGCGACTGTTGGCAGCAGTTCGTCCTGAGGGGAAGACTCCACCTACTCGAAGCAGGCGCCACACACAGCCAGGAGCTGCTCCATGGGGGAGGGGGAGCGGGGGGCGCGCGAGGGCCCGCCCAGATCGGCAAAACAATGAATAAGAAAACGATCACAGTGGGGGGGGGGCGGGTGGGGCACGGGAGCGTGACCTGGGCCAACTCGCCGTGCCCAAACTCCTCGATGACGAGCGAGACCAGCCGCGTGACCTCGTCGTCCTCCGGATCTGTCTGTTACAAAATGTTTTGTTTTTTGTTTTGTTGTGGTGTGTTTCCTCGTAGATCGGCGATGGGTAGGTTAGCTCCACTCCCCGTTGTGCGAATCGACACATCGCCAGGCAAACCAGGAACCCCGCACGAGTCGTCCTCCAGGGACTCTATCAGGGAGGACGCGCGCGCGAAGAGGAAGTCCCCGCTGAACACCGCGACGTCTGGGCCGAAGATGAGGTGCACTGTCTGCTTTTGCCGCCTGGCAAGCCCGAGCTGGATCGCATCGCGAGATCGGATCGGGTCGGAAACGACTCGGATCGCCAACGAATCGTCGCGAGTCCGGTCGAAACCGGATCGCCGCGCCAAGCACTGGCTGGCCCCGGCCGAGGCCGGTGAATCGAACCGAACCGAAGAGAATCGGCATCGCGGCCCCAGTCAGCGTATCGAATCTCATCGGATCGGAGCGCAGGTGGCCCTGCCTGGTCTCAGCGTCGTCGAGGATATCGTCATGCACCAGAGAGGCTGTGTGGATGATCTCCACCGCCGTCGCTAGCATGAGGATCCTTTCGGTGGCTGGCACCTGGCGAGCGAATCGGAGGCGACGCCATCAAAATGACACGAATCACGGTGACGACAAACATGCTCTCAAACCAGCCTCGAGTCGCGGCACGAGGAAACGGATCACCAGAATTCGCAGTCAACCCCAGACTCCGTCTGTCCGAATGCACAAACAAAACACGCCCGATGCTGGCAAGCGTCAGGCGAGCATGGCTACGTGCTCCCGGGCCGCGCATGTCGAGGACGGAGGATGTCAGGCGAGAGTGGCTACTAATTCGCTCCCCAGCCGCGCATGCCGAGGACGGAAGAGGCGAAACTCCTTGTGCCATGAATTCAATCCATCATTTTGTATGGTGTGTGTGTGTGTGTGCTAGGGAACCCACAAAGGACGTACGCGCCCAGCGATGTACATGAACGCGCGCCAAGCTATGTACAGACTGGCCGCGTGATACGAACACTTGGGCGCAATGCGCACTCTCGAAACCCGCGCGGATTCAAGTACATGTACGTCCTTTTTCCGCTCCTGATGCGTGTGCGTGTCCCCGGGTGCCATGCCCGGGGCGGAGGCCCCGAATCGGCCGCCTGCTCGAGACCCCCCGGGCCCCCCCCCCCTCCCCCCCTCGCCGGGCACGCCGGGCCCCCCCCCCCCCCCCCCCTCCCCCCCCCCCCCCCGGGGCCCCCCCCCCCCTCCCCCCCCCCCGCCGGGCACGCCGCCGGCCGCGCGCGGCGGCGCAACTGGACACCCGTCGGAGCCACGGGGCCTCCGCCCTCCTGGGCCTCCGCACTCCTGGGCAGGCAGGCGCGCGCCCTGGCCGGCTCGGGGCGCGCAGGCGTCGCTGCTGTCCCCCCGAGAGACTGAAGGGGCCCTGGGACACACAAACAAATACACACATACACACAAACATACACATCCCCCATGCTTTCCTACATTTTCTGGGTTTCTGTCCTCCCCCCCACTTGCCATACTTTCCCATAGTTTCTTGGGAATCGAGGATTCATTATGTTTTTTGTTTTTTTTTGATTTTTTTTTCCTCCTGGGAGACGGAGGGCCCGGTGGGGCCTGGCCCAGGGAGGGGGGGCCCGCGCGGCCTCGCGGGGACCTCGCGGGGGAGCCGTGCGTGCGGGAGGGGTGGAACCGGGAGCTGAGCCGACCCGAGCTCCGCAGGAGGAAGACGATGGAGGGCTCGGCCACTGAGGCGAAGAGGACCTCAGCGTCAACGCCTGCGCCGATGGGGCAGCGGGTGAGGAAGGGAACAACCCAAAGATCCGACGCCGCGAGAAAAATGTAGCATCGCGGAAAATCACAACCGGAGCCCCAGACTCCATCCTCCTGCGCCATTCTTCGAGCCGGGTCGCTCTGCGAGGGCCCCGGGGCCCGAAACTGTTCGAAAACGCCCGGCTCGAAGAAACTCCGACGCCAGGATCTCGGGGACAGGGTGGGAGAACGTGCTCGGGCAGGCACCTCCAGGCTGCCCGGAGGTGCGCCCTGGCCTGCACCTTCGGGCTGCGAGGGGAGGCGCCCTGGCAGGTGCTCGCACGGTAGGCGCGGTGGGGCCTGGCCCGGGAGGGGGGGTCGCGGCGTCGTGGGGGGGGGCCTGGCCCGGGAGAGGGGGGGGGGGTCGCGGCGTCGTGGGGGGCCCCCGGCGGGGCCGGCGGGCGCAGGTCGCCGCTGGGGCCCAACGATGGCGCCAGCCCGGGCTTCGCACGCGCGCGGGAGGCAACGAGCACGGCCCTCACGCCGGAGGCTTCGGGCTCGCATGCTCGCGTGGAGGCGCGCGTGGCGCGTGGAGGCCCGCGCTCCCATCCGCGCCTGCGGGGGTCGTGCCATCCTGGGGCTGGGGTGCTCGCCGCTCGCGCGCCTCGTCTGGCTCCGCGCCCAGATATTTGCCGGCGTGGCGGCTCCAGCAAAGGCAGCCCTCTCGAGACAGCCGTGGCGCCCGTGCTCGCCGCGACTTCGCAGATCACGAGCACGGGGACGGAAGCGCACGCGCCAGCTCAGGCGCCGACCGCGCTGCTCAGAGAACACTGCACAGGGATCGCCGCCCGCACCCCCCCCCCCCCAAAATTGTGTGCTCTCGCAGGAAGGCCCAACCCCCTCCCTGCATCCATGCCTCGGCATGAAGCTGGCGGGTCCTGGGGGAAACAGGTCCCGGACTGGGGCCTTCTCCCGAGGCCAGCTCTTCGCCCTGAGCCGTTTTTGTTCCCCCCTTTCTCTTTTTCATGCTTCTTTTTTTGTTTGTTTGCTTGCTTGTTCACCGCCCCGGGTGCTGGAAAGCGGCCAGGCCGAAAACGGCGAAACACCTCCGGACCTCCTGCTTCGGGGCGACTGCAGCTGCACTCCTGCCACCGCCGCCGCTGGGGCAACCACTTTCGGCCGCGCTGCCCTTCTCTGGTGCCCGCTGGCCGCGGGCGGAAGCCGCCAGCGGCAGATGGCCGGTTCCGAAAGCGCTGCGCCCCAAGATGAAGGGGCCCTGGGACACACAAATAAATACACACAAAATTAGCCTGGCGAAGGACCCAACCATATGCAGTTGAGAGTACCGCAATTGTGAATATCTTCTTCGGTGGCGCTCCCTATGGGGCCACGAGCCGTATGAGGGGTGTGCCGAAATGCGTGGCAGTGTACACAACACGAACGAAGACGATAGGTCCGAATATGAAAGCTTGAGCGCGTGCGAGTCGGATCGCGAGCGAGTCTGATTATGAATGAATCTGCGCGCGATTGATTCTATTCGCATGAATGCGTGCATGGATACGCCCAGTGTAAATGTATGTATACGACTGTGAACAGTTTGGGTCTGCGTGACTCTCGGTACTCGTGACTCTGAGCGTCGCCTCTGCAGGGGGCTTCCCTGGGAACCCCGACGGCAGCGCCCGCGCGCCGCGACGCCCATGTCGGCACGCCACACACCTGGTGTGCGGGACGCATGCGGACGGCAGCACTGGGGCCTTCGGTGGAGCTCCCTGTGGGGCCACGAAACGTGTGAGGGGTGTGCCGAAATGGGTGTGCGGGACGCATGCGGACGGCAGCCATGGGGCCTTCGGTGGAGCTCCCTATGGGGCCACGAAACGTGTGAGGGGTGTGCCGAAATGGGTGTGCGGGACGCATGCGGACGGCAGCACTGGGGCCTTCGGTGGAGCTCCCTGTGGGGCCACGAAACGTGTGAGGGGTGTGCCGACGCATGCGGACGGCATGGGGCCTGGTGGAGCGGTGGAGACGGCTGGGGCCTTCGGTGGAACGAAACGTGTGAGGGGTGTGATGCGGACGGCAGCCAGCGGGGCCACGAAACGTGTGAGGGGTGTGCCGAAATGGGTGTGCGGGACGCATGCGGACGGCAGCTGGGGCCTTCGGTGGAGCTCCCTGTGGGGCCACGAAACGTGTGAGGGGTGTGCCGAAATGGGTGTGCGGGACGCATGCGGACGGCAGCACTGGGGCCTTCGGTGGAGCTCCCTATGGGGCCACGAAACGTGTGAGGGGTGTGCCGAAATGGGTGTGCGGGACGCATGCGGACGGCAGCCATGGGGCCTTCGGTGGAGCTCCCTATGGGGCCACGAAACGTGTGAGGGGTGTGCCGAAATGGGTGTGCGGGACGCATGCGGACGGCAGCACTGGGGCCTTCGGTGGAGCTCCCTGTGGGGCCACGAAACGTGTGAGGGGTGTGCCGAAATGGGTGTGCGGGACGCATGCGGACGGCAGCCATGGGGCCTTCGGTGGAGCTCCCTATGGGGCCACGAAACGTGTGAGGGGTGTGCCGAAATGGGTGTGCGGGACGCATGCGGACGGCAGCCATGGGGCCTTCGGTGGAGCTCCCTGTGGGGCCACGAAACGTGTGAGGGGTGTGCCGAAATGGGTGTGCGGGACGCATGCGGACGGCAGCACTGGGGCCTTCGGTGGAGCTCCCTGTGGGGCCACGAAACGTGTGAGGGGTGTGCCGAAATGGGTGTGCGGGACGCATGCGGACGGCAGCCATGGGGCCTTCGGTGGAGCTCCCTATGGGGCCACGAAACGTGTGAGGGGTGTGCCGAAATGGAGAGAGAGGAGAGGAGAGGAGGAGAGGAGAGGAGAGGAGAGGAGAGGAGGAGGAGGAGAGGAGGTGGGACGCGGGCCGTCCTCTCTTCAAAACGAGGACCCAACACCACAGGATGGTTGGGAAAAAAGGATCCCCCATATTTTCCAATATCTTCTGGGCTTTTGTCTTCCCCCCCACTTCCCATATTCTCCCATATCTTCGGGGGAATCGGCGATTCATTGTGTCTGTGTCTTTTTCCCTCCTGACAAGAGGCCGCCACCTCCCCGGGGGCGCACCCTTTCCTTCCGCCGGCTCCCGGCGGCCCCCCCGCCGGCGGAGGCGGCCTCCGTTCCGCTTCCGCGGGCGCTCCCGCCGCCCCGCTCCGCCGAGGAAGGGATGGCAGCTCCTTCGGCCCTCGAGGGCGTGGCCTCGTCTGGGGCGCCCCACACGCCCCTGCCCTTGCCTTGGGTCGGGCATGTCCTCTCACAGGCGGATCCAGGAAGCAGAGTGAAACACAGTCAGACAAAAACTCAAACATAGTCAGAGATAGTCGAGCAATCGTCCCCAGACTACTTTTTTGACTATTTTGGAAAACATGCCTCCTGTAGAGTGACATGCCCGACTTAATCCTTGCCCCGAGCCGCCTGCGGGGCGTCGGCGCCGCACGCCTGGAGCATCCTGGCCGTGAGCAGGCACAGCGCGGGGCGCAGCCGCTTGCCCCCCGCGCTGAAGACGTCGCGGACGGCGTGCTTCAGCTTCCGGCTCTCCGCGGCGTCGCCTCGAGCGGGAGGGAAGGAGGCAGGCGCGGCAGGGGAAGGGGGGGGGTTCTGCATCCCTCCTCGAAGATTAAGCGCACATTTTTGCTGTTGGTCGACGCGCGGAACGCGGCCCGCGGGGTTTCATTCTTGTGTCTGCAGTCGCCGCTTTTTCGGCGCGAGCGCTTAAATTTTTAGGGTCCTGGAGCGCCGCCACGTCGGGGGAAACACCTGCTCTTGATCTCGAGGGGGGATGTAGGGGACGGAGTACGCAACCGAGAGACCTTTCGCGTCAGCGGTGCGTTGGCAACAAGACGACATGTGGACATGATGGGGTGAAGTGGGGGATGTACACCCTGCGAAATGCTTAAGAAATCATGGGTTAAGAAATTCATAGTCTCAGAAATTGAATAAAAACCCAGAACTTCTATCAACATCTTGGGATTTACATGGAAAAGTTAAGAATAATCGAGACTTTGGCCGAAAGCTTACGTTTTCTTAAGCGTCGCCTGAGGTGTAGCAACTCTTGGTCAGGAGACCAGCGGATCTTGGGAACACGACCTGAAAGACCCCACGCGACTTCCCGGCGGGACCCGAGACGAGTGGGAAGGGGCAAGAAGGCAGGGGCAAAAACACGTTTTCGCCGTCGTGGGCGCCTGCCGCAGGATGGCTGCAAGGTTTGCGCTCCCACGGTGGCACGTCGGGGAATGAGCCTTCCTGCCGCCCATGGGCAAGCGTCCTCGACCACGGAACCCTCTATTCCACACCGTCATTCGACCGCTGACGATTGGCAAGCCACGGGTGCGGGACAGTAACGGGTACCATGCCTAACTGCCAAGTTAGAGGGCAGCATATTCCCCCCATGTAAGCACCCCGACGAGCGAAGCCGTCTAGTAAACGCATCCAGGGAAGGAGTCGAACAGGGCAGGGCTGTTTGGTAAAATCCCAGGGCAGTTTCGTGAACGCCAGTTGTCGGGGTCTGGGCGGCTCAAGTGCCCTCCCAGACCTGCAACGGCCGCCGTGGGGCAGGCGGCCTTCTGCCTCGAGCGAGAAAGCGCTCACGGCGGCACCGACACAGCGCGCCCTGCTCTCAAGCCGGTCGGGGGACCCGTGGCGGGCCTGTGTCCCCGCTCCCGCTGCACCAAATCTCGATCGCACCGGCACGAGTTTTTTTTTTTTTTTTTTTTTTTTTTTTTTTTTTTTGTTTCTTTTCTTTTATATTTTTTTTTTGTTTTTTTTTTTCCTTTTCCGCGAGTCCATTCGCCTCAGACAGGGGACGAAGCGGCATGGGGGGCCTGCCGCCTCGCCGGCCAGAGGTCAGGCTGCAGAGCACGAGGGCCAGGACCAAGACCGAGCGTGGAGACGTCGTGCCGATCTGGGTCACCGTCGATCTTGGTCAGCGGCAGATCGTAGACCATCCTCGCGAGTCGGCGACAGCATGGCCAAGATAGGCGTCGACGAGATCCCGCGACATCTTGGTCGAGGTCCCCGTCTCCTCTTAAACCCTTCTGAAACCTTCCGAAACCCTCCTCGACCGTCCCAGACCTTCCTAAACCGTCCTAAACCATCCTTAAACACTCCTACACCCTCCCAAACCTTCCAAAATCCTCCCGAATACTCCTAAACTTCTTTGAGCCCTCCTAAACCCTCCCAACGCCTCCTAAACCACCCAATCCCTCTCAAACCCCACTAAACCCTCCTGAGCCCCGCTAAACCCTCCCAAACCCTTCTTCCCTCGAGGGGGGCCCGGAGGCGGTGGCGCATCACTGCGGGAAGCGAGGGCTGGCGCCACCCGCGCGGCCTGGGAGGTGTTCGCCGAGGCTCGATAAGCACGGCGGCGGCGGCCGGCGGCGGCCGTCGGCGGCGGCGGCGGGCGAGCGTCACCGAGCTCCAGCAAGCGCTGCTGCACTCTCTCCTGGTCCTCGGGATCGGCGGCGAGCGAGGGGGGGAACTGAGGCGACAGAGGCTTTCCTCAAAGCGCGGCGGCACTTCCCACAAGCCCTCGAGCCTTCCGAAGCATTTCCCGTGTCTTCGGGGGAGTTTTGGAGTCCCGAGACGGTGCGGTGACAGACCGTGCGGTGACCTCGAATCCCCACCGACTCCCCGCACGGTGTGGTCACCACCCCGTTTGGGGGCCCCCGAGAGAATTGAACAACTTCTCACACGGCCGGGGGACTTTCCGAGCCTTCAGAGAAGGCCCGCCCCTTCTTCACTCCCCTCCCGGGCTCGCTGCCGACGGAAGGCTCGGCGGGCCCGGGCAAGGGCAAGGGGGAGCTGCTGCTGCCTTTCGTGCTGCTGCTGCTGCTGTTTCAAGGCGCTGCCGAAGCACGAAACTTTTTGCGTCGGCGGCGGCAAGGGGTGACTGCGCTGGCGATAAGAGGCTTGAACGCGGGTTCCGTTAGGAGCGACTCGTGCCACCGTGCACAAGAGGAGGAGGGACGAGAGGACGCGGCCGGAGGAAAAGCAGGGACGGGGCGGGCGGCTCAGGCGTCAGTAGGGGAACAAAAAGTGACATAAACATAAAAACTCGGAGGTCCGCGCGGATTTCTCGGATCGGCGCTGGGGCCCCCCGGCGGCGCCCCCGGCGCCGCCCCTGGCGCGCTCCGCGCGCCGGGGAGGGGGGTCCAGCGCCGATCCGACAAAACCGCGCGGACCTCCGAGTTTTTATCTTTTTATGTGACTTTTTGTTCCCCTAGTCGGATCGCTCCCCGATGAAGCACGAACACGCACACACGCACACACACTCGGCCAACACGGGGGAGGCGTGTGCTGCCCCGGTGTGGCCCTCACGCGGCCGTGCGTCACCCCGGGCCGCGGCGGCGGTCGGCGCCGACCGCCGAGCACCCCTTCGCTTCGTCAGCGGCGGCGCCTTCTCGTCGAAACGCGCCGGGCTTGCCGCTGGGGCGGGCCGGGCGCTGCGCGCGAGACTTCGAATATTTTGGAGCAAAATCCCCCCAAAATCAAATATTGACGCACTAAACTGTAAATCTGTTATAATTTCCAATCGTTCTATTTTTTCGTGCCACGGATTGCCTTTTTGCAAACATTGCAATGTTAACGTGGGAATTCTTGTTTTGGTCCTTGACCCTGAAGGCTCCCAGCGGTCACACGGATGGAGGGCGACCCATTTCAAGAGTGTGGCTCTCGCCCGAGCGCGACGCGCGCTCGCCCGAAGAGCTTCCAGCGGGTGCACGCATGATGGAGGGCAGTTCGTGTTCAAGGCGCTCGAGTTCCTGATGAATCCCAGCAGCCCTTTGGCGAGGAGAGGTTTACCTCCCCCTCCCCTCTCCCTGGGTCTGGACAGGGGAGACCGCGATGCGTCAGAGTGTCTCCTCTGGTCCAGGCTATAAGAGGCCCTAGCCCACGATGGACGCCAAGACGATCAAGATCGCCCTCCATGCCTAAACAGAGAAGCTGAGAAGCCCATGCCACTCAACATCCAAAGCGTTCTTAATGGTTTGTGCCTTCTTGCCTTTCTGTTTCCAATTAGCCTTTGCGCAAACTTGCCGTTTCTCGGTTCATTTTTCGTTTTCGTGCGTGTTTTGTGGCTCGATGATCCAGGATGCTCTTCGAGGTCCTCGCCGAGAAAAACTGCACACGTCCGAACGATGCCAGACAAGATGGTCCCAAGAGCATCCACGAGACCCCTGAGAAGGACCCAGGCGAGGCCTAAAACGACCCCAAGATCGCCCCAAGAGAGGAACGATCTTTTGGGCTCCCGAGGGGCAGTGCGAATCGGCGCTGCCCTTGCTCGATGGCCTCACAGATGGCCCCAAGAAGGGACCCACAGAACTGCTAGATGAGCCCCCAAAGGGAGCTCTAAGAGAACTCCAAAAGCTCCAAGACGTCTCTAAATCCAGTGTTTGCCTCTCGCTTCACTAGGTATGTAGCTATACTGCCCTTCCGACAACTCGCCTGGGCATCGTTTCTGACTGGGCTGGTGGGGATATGCGACGCGTCAAGATTACGGCGGGCCCCCAGCTGGCGAGCTTGTGGGCGCCAGGTGGCCTTGGCCGTGAAAACGTCAGCAGGGCTGGGCAAAGAAAGGGATGATAAAAGGCTACAAAGGCCAAGTGGCTAGAGCGAAACGTGGGCTCGCGTGTCCCTACCACCACAGCGTAGCCCTCCCCGGGACGAGCTCCTCCCATCGTTGTCGGGTGGCTCCGTGTGGCCCGGGTGATTCACGCACAGGAGGCCCCCTTGTTGGCGCCACGATAGTTTCCAGAGGCTCAATCTGACTTCAAGGTGGCTCAGACGGCCCCAGGATGGCCCCCCGACGGCAGCTCCGAATCGGAGATCCGACGTAATGGTCGGAACCTCTGATCATTATATCTCGGCACGCGCGGCACCGGCACCGCGTCCCCCCTCACCCACCCAGCCCCAGCCAGCTCAGCTCCTCCTCGGCCAGCAGCCAGCCCCATCTCCGCTTCGCCCACCAGCCAGCGCGCCTTCTCTTGCACAGGGTGTCTTGACTTCCGACCATTTGATTTTGGCACGCACTGTACTGGCACCGAATGCACCCTCACCCACCCACCGACAGCCAGCTCAGTTCCTCCTCAGCCTCAGACAGCAGCCAGCCCCAACTTCTCGCCCACCAGCCAGCGCGCCTTCTCTTGCAACGGATGGCTTGAGCTCTGACAACAGCACCAGCACCGCGTGCGCCTTCACCTGCCCATTCCCAGCCAGCTCAATTCCCACGCGGCCAACAGCCAACCCCCGCTTCTCCTCGCCCACCAACCAACGCGCCCCTTCCGCACTCCGCCCCGACCACGGCACTCCGGCACGCGCGGCACCGACACTGCGTGCACCCTAACCCACCACAGCAACCGCGCGCCCCTTATCCGCCCCACCCCCCAACACCTCTTCGCCCACCAGCCAGCGCGCCCCTTCTGGTCCGAACATTTTACTTCGGCACGCACGGCGCCAGCGCTGCGCTCCCCTCGTCCCTTCCCAGCACCAGCGAGCGCCCCGCCCTTCCGCCCCAGCCGCCCCCATCCTTCCCCCAACATCCGCCCCAGCTCCTTCTTACCCACCAGCCCGCGCGCCCTCTCCGCCCCGACCTGTGTATTTCGGCGCACGCGGCACTGGCGCCGCGCCCCCTCCCACCCCCTAGCAGCCGCCCCAACTCCTCCTAGCACACCGGCCAGCGCGGCCCATCTGCCTCGACAACTTTATTTCGGCACGCGCGGTAATGACGCCGGGCCCCCTCCCTTCCCCCCCCCGCACCAGCCGCCCGTGCCGTCTCCGCCCCAACCAGTTTATTTCGGCACGCACGGCGCCAGCGCCGCAGCCCCTTCCTCCCTCCCCAGCAGCCGCGCGCGCTCCTCTGCCCCGACACCTTTATTTCGGCACGCGCGGCGCCGACGCCGCGCCTCCTTCCTTCTTCCTCCCCCATAGCCGCCCCAGCTCCTCGCCAGGCGGCCAGCGTGCCCCTTCCGCACCGACCACCTGATCTCGGCACGCACGGCACCGCCAGCGCCGCGCTTCCCTCCTCCCCCCCAAGCAGCCGCCCCAGCAGCGCGTCCCCTCCGCCCCGACCACTTCTATTCGGCACGCATGGCGCCGGCGCCGCCGCTCCAACACGTCCTCGCCCACAGGCCCGCGTGCCCCTCAGCCCCCAGCCAGCCCAAGTCCCCCTCGACCCCGAGCCAGCGCGCCTCCTTCGCCACGACACGGCACTGGCACCAGCTCTCCCCTCCCCTTTCCAGCCAGCCCAACTCCCCCTCGCCCCCCACCCAGCGCGCCCCCTCCGCCCGGACCATTTTATTTTGGCACGCGCGCGCGCACGCACGGCACTGGCACCGCCCAGCCAGCCCAGCTCCCCCTCGCCGCCTAGCGGGCACGCCCCCGACCCGACCATTTTAGTTCGGCACGCACGCACGGCACTGGCAGCGCCCCCCCCCCCAGCGAGCCCCACTCTCCCTCGCCCCCCCGCCCGGCGCGCCCCTTCTGCCACGATCGCTCTACTTCGGTTCGCGCGCACGGCGCCGGCACCGCCCACCCCCCCAGTCAGCCCAGCTCCCCTCCCCCGCCAGCCGGCGCGCCCCCTTCGCCCCGCCCCCAGCCAGCCCAGCTCTCCCTCGCCCCCCCGGGCGGCGCGAGCCCCCTCCGCCCCGACCTCCTCGCGTCGGCACGCACGCGCGGCGCCCCACCGCCCTGCCCCGCCGCCAGCCCCGCCTCGAGGCTTCCAAAGCGCATCGGAAGCGACAAAAGTGCCGAGGAAAAACTCATTCTGCTTCGTGGAATGGGATGTTTGAAGGATTTGGGCTTCTTGGGGGGGGGCCGAAAGTCCTCTGAGAGCACTGTGGGCAATCTTGTGGCCCTCTTGGAAGCGTCAGGAGGAAGAGGAGGAGGCGGGAGGGAGGAGGGAGGAAGGGAGTAAGAGGACGGACGAGGGACGAGGGAGGAGGGCGGAGGGAGGAGGCGGAGGAGGAGGGATGAAGAGGAGAGGTACGAGGGAAGAATAGGGATGAGGAGAGAGGGAGGGTGAGAGGGAGGGAGGGAGGCAGCAGCAGGAGCATGAGCAGAATCAGGAGCAGGAGAAGGAGGAAGAGGAGGAGGCGGAGGAGGAGGAGGGGGAAGAGAAGGCGGATGATGATGATGATGATGATGATGATGATGATGATGATGATGATGATGATGATGATGATGATGATGATGATGATGATGATGATGACGGGGGGAGGATGAGGAATGAGGCCCAAGAGGACGAGGAGGAGGAGGGATAAGGAGGATGATGGGCAGGAGCAGGAGCAGGAGCAGGAGAAGGAGGAGGAGGAGGAGAAGAAGAATGATGGGGGAGGTGGAGGGGACAAACTAGGTGCGCTCGCGTTATATTTGACGTCCTACCCCTCCCTCCCATTTCTTACCATGGCGTAGATCTCCTCTCTATTCGCACAGTCGGATGTTGTAGCAGGTCAGGGCATAGCATTACATGGCATAGCATGGCGTTGAAGATCAACGCGTAGCCTGACATAGCATGGTGTGGCGACGCCCCAAAGTGGGGGGGCTTCTGCGGTCCCAGAAATCAGCGAATCGACACCGAATGGGTAATCACTTCCGATGGTTGTTTCGGGGGGGGCATTTCCTAGATTTTGGGGCCTATTTGGAAGGACCGAAAACCATGCCGTGGCATGGCGCTGGAAATAATGACGCCAACGCGGCAGCGGGAGCACGACTCGGAACGAGCGGAAGCGCGGAAATGATGCCAGAGCTGCAGCGGGAGCACGATTCGGAGGACGCGTAGCCTGACATAGCTTGGTGTGGCTACGCCCCAGGGTGGGTGGGGAGCTTCTGCGACCCCAAACATCAACGAATCGGCACCGAATGTGTAATCATTTCCGATGGTTTTCTCGGGGGGGCATTTTCTAGATATTGGGGCCTCTTTCGACGGACCGAAAACCATGCCGTGACATATCGCTGGGATAATGGTGCCACCGCTGCAGCGGGAGCACGATTCGGAACGAGCGAAGCGCGAAAATGAGGCCAGCGCTGCTGCGGGAGCACGATTCGGAAAGAGCGGTAGCCCGAACATGAGGCCAGCGCTTCAGCGAGACCAGCATTTTGAAGCATTACCCTGGCGACGTACCCAACCCCTGCACAATGTGGGGCAAGAACAACCTTGGAGATTTGACGAGAAGGCGGCGACGGGACATGGACGCACATTCTTCTGAGAGAGCGGCATTCGGAAGGTTCGCAGGTCCCCAATCAAGGGAAACACGATGAGTAACTAAGTGAACCCCTGAGTCACTAAGGAAGACGCAAGGTCCAAAATGGGACTGTGGGCAAGGAGCTTGAAACGTCGGCAATGCAACAACACCATGACATGGCCGCCCAAAGACGACGAGGTCCCGCTCAAGCCCGCGTAGCGCCTCACTCCGCTAGACCCACCAGCAGCCTTCGAAAGTGGCGAGCCCACCAGTAGCCCTCGAACGTGGCGACAGTTTCGCACATCGCAGCCCCCCAAGGACGGCGAGGTCTCGCTCAAGTCTGCGCGATGCCCCACTCCGCTGGACCCACCAGCAGCCCTCAAAAGTGGCGACAGTTTCGCACATCGCAACCACCCAAGGACGGCGAGGTCTCGCTCAAGTCTGCGCGGTGCCTCACTCCGCTGGACCCACCAACAGCTCTCGAAAGTGGCGACAATTTCGCAGATCGCAGCCCCCCAAAGACGGCGAGGTCTCGCTCAGGTCTGCGCGGTGCCTCGCTCCGCTGGACCCATCAGCAGCCCTCGAAAGTGACGGCGAGGTCTCGCTCAGGTCTGCGCGGTGCCTCACCCTGGTGGGCCCACCAGCAGCCCTGGAAAGTGGCGACAATTTCGCACATTGCAGCCCCCCAAGGACGGCGAGGTCTCGCTCAAGTCTGCGCGGTGCCTTACTCCGCTGGGCCCACCAACAGCCCTCGAAAGTGGCGACAGTTTCGCACATCGCAGCCCCCCAAAGACGGCGAGGTCTCGCTCAGGTCTGCGCGGTGCCTCACTCCGCTGGCCCTACAATTTTGCACGTCGCAGCCCCCCCAAGGACGGCGAGGTCTCGCTCAGGTCTGCGCGGTGCCTCACCCCGCTGGACCCACCAGCTTGCGGGCTAGTTTCCTGAAAGGGGGCCCACAGTGGTTTGCGCTCTGCGGGCTCAGTGGACACCAGAAGCGCGAATGCTTGCAACAATTTCACGGATGGAGGCTGGATCCGTTTCAGAACGAGGCTCTTGCTTGAGACTTTCAGATGGCTTGTGGCCTCGCCTGAATGAAATGCCCACACGGCACTCGTCTTTTCATGGGGGCGCCCCAGTCGTGAAAGGGGATGCTTGTAGGGACTTATGAAGGAACTTGTGACGGGAGGGTGTGTCGTAGTATCGCTGATGCATCATGTTTGCTCGGGTCCTCCTATCCTCCTCCTCCTCCTCCTTTTTCCCTCCAACTTCTGCTGCTGTTACTGCTGCCGCTGCTGCTTCTCCTGATCTTTCTCCTCTTCCTCCTCGCTGTTCCCGCGGGCCCCCCTTTCCCTTTTTCCCCCCTTCTCCTGTTGCTGCTGCTGCTGCTGCTCTTCCTCCTCCTCGTCCCTCCTCCACGGTCCACTGCCTCTCGTCTCCGTCCCTCGTCCTCACCTCCTCCTCCTCCTCCTCCTCCTGCTCCTGCTCCTGCTCCTGCTCCTGCTCCTCCTCCTCCTCCTCTGCCCTCCCGAGTCGGCACTTCGGCGACAAATGGTAATCCTCCAGGCAGACCTAATCATAAAAAAAAATCGAAGTCAACGCCAGGGGCCCAATGTGAGGAGAGGACGAGGGTGCCGCTTCCCTCCTCCCCGTGTGTCTCCTCGGCGATGCAGCTGAGCAGAACGTCGAGGTCCTCGGGGGGCTCACAACATCAGGCCGCAAGGCCGCCACCCTAATCCAAACACACTCGCCTGCTGCCGAGGCAGCGGCTGCTTCAGTGCCGGAACCCGTCCTGGGGGCTTGTTTGACTGGAAGCAAAGGCGACACGAAACCTGCGGGGGCGCCGCTCCGCAGCGACGTGCCTCGCGCGCAGGGGAGGGGTGCCAGCGCCGTTTCGAGAGATCTGAGAGGACCTCTGCAAGGCTGCGTGTCATGCCCTTCTCTCGTGCCTTCGATCGAACACCACCCGGGCGGCGAAAAGAAACGGCATCTGCGCACGCTGCCATCGCGACCCTGTGCGGTGGCTTGCGCGGGCCGCCAGCGCGGCGCGCCACACTGGAAGCGGGGGCGCTCACGCGTGACCTCACGCGGGACGCTCACGGTCCAATGTGTCGGTGAAGGCGGTCCCGTTTCTCCGCGTCGCTCATACGTTTTTCTACGCCTCGGAGCAGGGCGGTTCGAGACACCAGGAACTCAAAATCGGTCCCTGGACCCTTCCAGGGGTCCCAATGTAAAAGTTTCCGCGCCGCGTCCAGCCGTGGCGGCGGTGGCCCCCCCCCCCCCCCCAAGGCCAACTACCAATGTCCCAAACGGCCCTCCTCGGAGCCCCTGCTATCGAGCCGCCTGACCACAGAGGGTCGGGCTTATCGACGGAGAGGGACCCCAGCGATACCGGGAAAATAGATATTCCCCGGCGGCGGCCACTGCCGACGATCGGAGGGGATGAGGATCCGTGATGGTGATGATGATGCTGATGATGCTGCTGCTGATGATGGATAATGGTGATGCTGATTCTGATGATGATGATCATGATGATGGTGCTGATGATGATGCTTGTAATGGAGAAGATGCTCATGATGATGGTGGTGATGATGATACTGACGTTGACGATGACGATGACAGCGACGACGATAAACACGATGATGATGCTGCCGATGACGATGACGATGACGATGACGATGACGATGACGATGACGATGATGATGATGATGATGATGATGATGATGATGATGATGATGATGATGATGATGATAATGATGATGATAATATTAGTACTGATGACTGCGACGACGACGATAAAAATTATGCTGATGAAGATGATGGTGGTGGTGACGATGATGATACTGATGATGATGGCTCCGGCAACATTGAAGGCCCTGTGAGGTTGCCTTCGCGCTTCGCGCCGCGCGAAGCGCGACCCGCGGGCACACCTCCGCGGCGCCCCAGCATGAAGGGACCCTGGGACACACGAATAAATACACACAAATAAACATACTCCCCATATTTTCCCATATTTTCGGGGTTTTTGTCTTCCCCCCCACTTCCCATATTCTCTCATTTTTTCTGGGAATTGACGATTCATTGTGTCTGTGTGTTTTCTTTCCCTCCTGACAGCAGAGAAGGACAACTCCCCCGCCCGTACAACGGCTTTCTGGGGGACCTCAGATCCGTGTGGTGACGGACGGCGTGGTGAGCCCTCGAGAGAGGGCGGACCAAAAACACCCCGACCCCGATGACGGGTGTTTACCAAATGGTCCTGGGCGTTTGCGAAACAGCCTTTCCCTGTTCGATTCCTTCCTCGGGCGCGTTTACCAAATGGCTTCGCTTGTTGGGGTGCTTATTCTGAGGGCGGATCTTCTGCTCTCTATAATCATGGGAGCCTGTGGACCTCCGCGTCCCAATCACAAACATGATTTCAACTGGATGTCGTCCATATTTCGACCACCCCTCTTCGCCCTTCCGTCCAGATTTCGTGCAGATGACGGCCAAATCCCACGCAATCTGGACGAAATTCACCAAACCGCATGGAATTTTGGGACCCTCTGATGCTCCCATGGAGGACGCCACTAACGGACCCCGTGGTGACCTCGGCATCCCCAACGATTTCACCACGCGGTCCGTCACCGCACCATCTTGGGACCTCGGGGGCCCCGATCGCCCGAGACGTCCTCGGAGAGCAACCCGAGTCCCAATGCCGCGTGGTGACCCTGAACCCCCTCTGACTCACCATGCGGTGTGGTCACCACACCGTTTAGGGGTCCCCGAAGATCACCATCATCTTCGCGCCCCTGAAATCGGCCCAGGATGGCCTCGCCCCAACTCTCTTCAACATCAATCCCCAGACCCCGCCCATGGTCAGTCTTTCCAGGCTTAGAGAATAGCGACTCTTCTGCTGGGCCTAACCGCTCAGTATCGGTCTTAGACCCCTCCCGGGAGTACCGATATCGCTACTCCCTGGACCTCTTCCCGGGTGCGTTCTGACCAGGACTTCGAGGCGAATCCAGCGGTGGCGACGAGGGCCTCTCAGGAGGCCCCGAAAGGGGAGAACGAGGGAGAGGCAGAGTTATGGGTGCCTCGGCTTTTCGGGGCAGACGCCTGTTTGTCGGACGTTTGCTACTAGGCATTCTGCGAGCAGTGGAGCGCGCTCGGTGGCATCTACTGCGACCCCACCCAGGACCCGGGCTGAACCTAAGCGGTGTTTTCCGTTTTCGTTTTGTTTTTCGTTCGTGCTCGTTCTGTCTTCGCTTCGCCCCGAGTGCAAAACAAAACGAATAACAAAACGGCCCACGAGATTGAAGGGGCCCTGGGACACACACATCAATACACACAAATAACATTATTCCCCATAGTTTCATAGATTTTCTGGGTTTTTGTCTTCCCCCCCACTTCCCATATTTTCCCATATCTTCTGGGAGTCGACGATTCATCGTGTCTGTGCGTTTCTTTCCCTCCTGAGAGATGGCCGAAACACCGTTTGGGCCCAGACCTACCCGGGAGGCCTGGCTCCTCGAAGCGAGGAGGGCGCAGCGGCAGACCCCCCCCCGCAAGGCCCGCTGGCCTCTCGGCCACGGCCCGCGCTCCCGCCGGTCGCCGGTCGCTTTGCCGTGGCCCTGCGGCCGAGCCTCGCTCGGAGCAGCCAGGACGGCCCAAGACCAAGACGAGGCCAGGGCGAGGAGAAGCTCTCAGATCCGGCGGCGCTGGAAGATGTCTCGGGCGCCGCGGCCCTCTCGGAGCGTCCTGGAACGCTCTGGGAGCGTTCTGGGACGGGTTTATCCTCGGCCAAGCCCCGTCCGAAGATGGCCCCCAGACTCTGAGAACCAGGAGGGCTCAAGATGGCATCCTTCTGCGTCCTCTTTCAGGCCGGGTGGATCCGTTGTGAACAGAGTGCAACGCTAAGATCTTAGGGGACCCCATGTGGGCGGATTCAATCTGTTGGCGGCGCGCACACGGTGGTAGGGGGAGGGGGGAAGGCTTCTTAGAGGAAGGCTGCTTCTTCGAGGTCGCCGGCCTTACATCTACAGACAAGGCCCGCGTCTTCTAAGAAGCAGGGGTGCTTCTTAGAAGCCTTCCCCCCTTCCCCTGCCCCCCTCTGCGTGTGGCTGAAAGACGGCCCGAGAGGTTCCGAGAGACCCCCAAACTCGGCCCAGACGCCTCCAACCCAGCTTAGACGGCCCAGGTGGCCTAGGATTGCCTCAAGATGGCCCCGCAGGCATCCCAAATGGCCCCAAGATGCCCCAAGCTGTCCCCAACAGAGCTTCAAGACGACCCAAGAGGGCCCCACCCGCACTCCGTCCGCCGAGCTGGTGGGAATCTCAAGCTTCTGGGTCATAAATGGTGAGGGAGTCGCTGGTGATACGCTTGGATCAGCCGATCGGCACGCCCCATGGTGCGACGAGGAGAGATTGGTCCGTCACTGCGCTTGCAGCGCACCCGATCGACACACCTCATGGTGCGACGAGGAGGGGATGTCAGTCCGTCACCACGCTTGCACTGGTGTGTATGTGTATGTGTGCCGGCCACACGCCAGAGTGACCTGGGGCATTCATGGCATTTTGTGCGCGGCGCGTCGATTGTTGCATGCGGTGCAGCATGTACATCCCTAACTCAAGACAAGGAGGCACTCTTCAATAGGGATCCCACAAAAGACGTACGCGCCCAACCATGTACATGAACACGGCCTCTCGATCCGCGAGACCGTCCGCGTGATACGAACATTCGCGCAATGCATACTCTCGAAACCAACGTGGATTCATGTACGTGTACGTCCTTCTTTCGCTCCTGATTCAAGGCTGGGGCTGATCATCACCCTCGTGCCGGCCAGAAGGGGGAGGGGCGGGAGGGGCAGGGAGGAGCCGCTGCGAGATCGGCCACACGCAGAGGGTAACCCCTGGGATCGGACCACCTGCGGTGTGCGGCTTGCCCATCGGTGCCTGCGATGCGACAGCGCGGCCTGCGTGCCTGGGCTTGGCCCCCCCCCCTCCCCGGGACGCCCGAAAGCCGCGCACCCGAGGGCACTCCAGCGAAGGGCAGCCCTTACGTGCCGCCGACTCCCTCCCTGGCGTCTGGCTTTCGGCTCGTACCTCGGGCTTCCCGCGGCCATTCGGGACGATTCGGGCATCGGGCATCCCCGGGTCGCTCTCGGCGAGGCGCAGCTGCTGGAACGCCGCATTGAGGCAGGAAGACCTCCAAGAACCAACGAAGACGGTCGACAGCCTGCCAAAGGTCACCCTGGCGAAGGGTCGAGCAACCAAGAAGAAAAGAGGAACAGCCCCGAAGCCTCCGTCTACATCTCCCGCGCGGAGCCCTTCTTGAAAACCCCCAGGGGGGCTCGCCGCATTAGAGAGTCGCGCCAATTTTGTGCAGCTCTCTCCCGGGACCTGCTAAGTTTAGGGCGTCTAGTGCAAGCTGTTTCTTATGTGCGCGGGCCTCTCGAGGGCATCCCTCGAGCACTTGGGTCGCGCCCTGGAGGCCTACTGAGGGCTTCCCGGGGTTCTTCTGATATGTACGATGTCCAACAACAAGTGTTGTCCCAAACCGACGGCGGCCGCTGTTGGGCAGGCGGCCTGCTGTCTAAAACAGACAACGTCCGCAACGACGCCGACAACGAATCACATTCAAATGCGCAGAAAGAACCGTCGGTCCTCATACCGATTATTTCCGTACCCATTTCGATCATACCGATCTTGGAATCTTCCAATCTGGTTGAAAGATCCGCCACCGTGCCGCTGGGCACGGAGTAGGCGTGTCCTCAGGTCCTCTCACTACCCCTCTTTGCCTCAGTCGTCACTCCTGAGGAGTTCTGAAGGGGTTCGGAGCCTCTCGGACCAAATCTTCTGGGGCGTGGCTCATTCCCCTGGGCATTGCACAATGCTCTCGCCGGACATTTTCGGGCCCAAGAGGGCCCCAAGACGGGCCAAGAGGACCTCAAGAGGCCCCCAAGACGGTCCAAGAGGGCCCCGAATCGCCGAAAGATCGCCCGAAGACGCCCAAGATGGCCGCCAGACGGCCCAAAAGACCCCAAGACGCCTAAAGAGGCCTCCATGAGGCCTCCCAAGAGGGTCCCAAGAGGCCAACATCATCTATTTTCCTCGAATTTTTAAATGATTTTAGCGTTTTCGCCTTTTCGGCTTCCCGACGCTCCCAGACGGCCCTAGAGGCCCCCCAGGACCCCCCTCAGACGGGCCAATAAGCCTCCAAGAGGACCCCAAAACGGCCCAAGAGGGCCCCAAAACAACCCAAGAGGCGTCCAAAACGGTCCAAGAGGGCCCCAAAACGGCTACAAAAGGGGTCCGAAAGAGGGAGCAAGACCCGAAAATCTGAGCCTTCCGCCCTAAGAGGCCCCCAGGAGACGGCGCCCAGGAGGTCCCAAGAGGCCCCAAGAGACCCCCAAGAGGCCAAAAAGAGGCCCCAGGAGCCCCTCAAACGGCCCCCGAGAGGCCTCCCACGAGATCCCAATGAACATCCACTAGGCTTATAACCTACAACCCAGGCATGGTGGCGGGATAGGCCGAAAGCCGTTCGATCACCACGCCGTTTTGGGCCGTCCCCCAACGGGGCGGTCCAGCGACTCCGGCAGCGGAGCACGGCGGCCGAGTCCGCGCAGCAGCAACCAGTCGATCTCCTGCGGGCGGAGCCGACGCGGCCGACAGCGACGACGAGGAGGATGACGACGATGAAGACGAGGGCCCAGGTGACGACGACGACGACAACGACGACGAATGACGAGTGCGATGAGGACAATGACGATCAGGACAAGGAGGAGGAGGAGGAGGAGGAGGAGGAGGAGGAGGACCAGTGTAAACCGAAGACTCATCAACGAGGTTGGAGTAAACCCTGCCCCCCAAGCTCCAGTTTCATAGGTCCCATACAAGGGTTCAGCTCCACTGAGGGAAGTGCCCGTCCGGAGACAACTGTTTGAAGATCCTGAAACGCGCCAAAACACCATTGTCGGAACTCCAACGAGGCTAATCAACTTGACAGTTGAGCCATGGCGACCCTGAATCGTGCCAGGACATCATCCCTGAGACTTCAACACCGCGAATCAACGTAACTGTTGCGCCGTGACCATCGTGAGCCGCTTCGACGAACCATTTCTGCTACGCTAACTAGGGGAAACCGTGAACATGTTGCAATATTTTAGAGCGAATGTGCGCGGCGCTGAAGCAAGAACCGCACTTTGAAAAGGACCTGCCCTCAATCCATGAAACTTGTACAAACCATTGGAAAAATGTGCGCGGCACAAAGGCGAAAACAATTTGAAAACGTTCCGCCCTCAATTCGTGAATCTCTTGCGAATTTGTAGGGCGAGCGTGCGCGGCGCTAAGGCGAGAGCCGCATTTTTAAAACCACCCGCCTTCCATTGCCAAATTCAAGCTTCAAGATAAATAATGGTATTGCAATCTCAAGAAGATCGCCCGGCCCACCCTTTCGACCAGCCTCAGGGTGCGACAGGGAGGAGTTATTGATAAGGAAGCGGAATGGAGGATGAGGACCAGTGTAAGCCCAAGACGCATCAACGACATTGCAACAAACCCTCCATACAAGATCCCTCTGCGTAGTCCCGTACAAAAAACCATCGTCACGTAAAGAAATACCCCGTTTCAAAACAACCATTTGAAAATCTGGAACTGCGCCAGATCACCATTCTTGGAACTTCCACACACAGTGAATCACCGTAGCTGTTGCGTCTTGAGGTTCCTGGATCGTGCCAGAACAGCGTTCCTGGGACGTCACCACAGCGAATCAAAGCAATTGCGGCGCCCTGTCAATCCGACATAGTGTGAACAAAACAGCTTCTGGGTCGTTAACTATGACAATCCTTGAAACCGCTGTAAACTCTCAAAACGAATGCACGCGGCGCTAAGGCGAGGAACATATTTGGAAAACAACGGGCTCTCCATCTGTGAAGCAGTCGCAAGCTTTTCAAAGCGAATGTGCGCGGCGCTAAAAGCGAAACCGCATTTTGAAAACGACTCGTCCTCCATCCGTGAAGCTCCTGCCATTTGGATTGAAAGAATGTGCGCGGTGCTAAAGCGGGAGCCACATTTTGAAAACGACCCGCCTTTCATCCGTGAAATCCTTGCAAATTTTCTAGAAAAGAATGTGCGCGGCGCCAAAGCGAGAACCACATTTTGAAAACGGCCCGCCCTCAATCCGTGAAGCTTTTGCGAATTCAAATTCAAAATCCAAAATTGCGAAGAAGTCTCAGGCGAAACGCCCAGCCCGGCCTTTCGACCCGCCTCTGTGACAGGGAGGAATTACTTATAAGGACAAGGAATGGAGGCGGAGCGGAGAAAAGTGCGACGGTGACCGCCAAGGGCGGGGCCTATCAGGCCAGCGCGGGTGGGCCAGAGCCCTCAGTGATCGCACTCGAAGTCGGCGTGCGGCGATTCGAGGGGAGGTGAGGAGAGGAGGAGGAGGAGGAGGAGGAGGAGGAGGAGGAGGAGGAGGAGGAGGAGGAGGAGGAGGAGGAGGAGGAGGAGGAGGAGGAGGACAACGAGGGCGACGAGAACGATGAGGATGTGAACGACACAGCGGCAGCGGCAACAGTGAGCAGCAGCAGGGGGAAGGCGAGAAGCGCGGGGACTTCAGGCGGACTCTACCGAGACCAAGAGGGGGGGCGCAGAGGGAGACAGACCGAGGGGAGGCGCGGAGGAAATGAGAGTGGTCCCTCCTACCCCTCCTGCTCCTCCTCCTCCTCCTCCTCCTCCTCCTCCTCCTCCTCCTCCCCCTCCTCCTCCTCCTCCTCCTCCTCCTCCTCCTCCTCCTCCTCCTCCTCCCGTGCTGCTTCTCTTCCTGCTCCTGCTCTTACTGCTGCTGCTCCTCCTGCTACCTCTCGTCCTCCTTATCGCAATCGTCGTCGTCGTCGTCGTCGTCGTCGTCGTCGTCTGAGTCCCCCTTCCGCATCCTCCTGCTTCTCCTCCTCCTCATCATCCTCTTCGTCGTTCGTCCTGTCGAGGATTAAAGCAGATGCTTGTAGCAACCTCGTCCAAGGAAAATTATGCTAACGGAGTTCCCCGCATAAGGATGTTGAGGGCTTCGTGGGATCACTGAGGCAACATAACAAGATGAATGGAAGGGCCATCGCAAACGTAAGTGCGAAAGGAACGGAGGCAAGGAGGGGGAGCAGCAGGGAGGACAACGACGGCTGTTCAGGAAGCACGTTCGTCCCTGGAGGAGTGGGAGGGGCAAGAGGGGCCTCCCTGGATGAGTGGGAGGGGCACGACCCCTGATATAACAAACACAGTTTTCGAATACCCTCCTCGCTCAGACGGGGCCTCCCAGGAGGAGTGGGAGGGACACGACACCTGATAAAATAACGTGGCTTTCGAATACCCTCTTCGCTCAGGCGGGGCCTCCCTGGAGGAGTGGGAGGGGCACGACACCTGATCAACACCATAGCTTTCGAATGTCCTCCTCGCTCAGGCGGGGCCTTCCCAGAGGAGTGGGAGGGGCAAGACACTTGATAACTAACATTGTTTTCGAATACCCTCCTCGCTCAGGCGGGGCCTCCCTGGATGAGTGGGAGGGGCACGACACCTGATAAAATAACATGGCTTTCGAATGCCCTCCTCGCTCAGGCGGAGCCTCCCTGGAGGAGTGAGAGGGGCACGACACCTGATCAACACCATAGCTTTCGAATGCCCTCCTCGCTCAGGCGGGGCCTCCCAGGAGGAGTGGGAGGGACACGACACCCGATAAACAACATACTATTGTTTTCGAATACCCTCCTCGCTCAGGCGGGGCCTCCCTGGAGGAGTGGGAGGGGCACGACACCTGATCCATAACATGGTCTTCGAATATCCTCCTCGCTCAGGCGGGTTCTCCTTGGAGGAGTGGGAGGGACACGACCCCTGATCCATACCATTGTTTTCGAACACCCTCCTCGCTCAGGCGGGGCCTCCCTGGAGGAGTGGGAGGGGCGCGACACTTGATAACTAACATTGTTTTCGAATACCCTCCTCGCTCAGGCGAGGTTTTTCTGGAGGAGTGGGAGGGGCACGACCCCTGATACATAATATTGTTTTCGGATACCCTCCTCGCTCATGCGGGGCCTCCCTGGAGGAGGGGGAGGGGCACGACGCCTGATAACTAACATTGTTTTCGAATACCCTCCTCGCTCAGGCGGGGCCTCGCTGGAGGGGTGGGAGGGACACGACACCTGATAAACAACATGCTATTGCTCTCGAATGCCCTCCTCGCTCAGGCGGGGCCTCCCAGGAGGAGTGGGAGGGACACGACACCTGATAAACAACATACTATTGTTTTCGAATGCCCTCCTCGCTCAGGCGGGGCCTCGCTGGAGGGGTGGGAGGGACACGACGACTGATAAACAACATGCTGTTGCTCTCGAATGCCCTCCTCGCTCAGGCGGGGCCTCCCAGGAGGAGTGGGAGGGACACGACACCTGATACACAACATACTATTGTTTTCGAATGCCCTCCTCGCTCAGGCGGGGCCTCGCTGGAGGGGTGGGGGGGACACGACACCTGATAAACAACATTGTATTGCTTTCGAATGCCCTCCTCGCTCATGCGGGGCCTCCCAGGAGGAGTGGGAGGGACACGACACCTGATAAACAACATAATCTTGTTTTCGAATACCCTCCTCGCTCAGGCGGGGCCTCGCTGGAGGAGTGGGAGGATGGGCACGACATCTGATAAATAACATGGCTTTCGAATACCCTCCTCAGGACGGGCCTCCCTGGGAGACTTGAAGGGGCACGAAACCTGATGCATAACATGGTTTTCGAATACCCTCCTCGCTCAGGCGGGACCTCTCTGGAGGAGTGGGAGGGGCACGACACCTGATACAGAACATTGCTTTCGAATACCCTCCTCACTCAGGCCGGGCCTCCCCGGAGGAGTGGCAGGGGCACGAAACCTGATAAATACTATTCGATTGAATACCCTCTTCGCTCAGGCGGGGCCTCCCTGGAGGAGTGAGACGGGTACGAAACTTGATAAATAACATGGTGTTCGAATACCCTCCTCGCTCATGCGGGGCCTTCCTGGAGGGGTGGGAGAGGCACAAAACCTTGTAAATAGTTTTGTATCCCGATGCTGTCCTCGCTCTGGCGTGGCCTATGGTAGGTATGGTCTGGTAGGTATGGTATTGGTATGGTACGTATTGGTATGGTATAACATGGAGGCGGGAGAAGGAGAAGGAGAAGAAGGAGAAGGAGAGGGTGTTCTAGGAAAACAAGAACCCCACTCAGGATGTGGGGAATCAAATCAGCACGAAGATAATGATGGTATCAGAGGTCCCAATCGGTGGCCTAGAGCAATCATGCATCCAACTCTCGACTTCCACAGGTTGCGCTAATCCAACAAAGTCCGCCTCCTCCTTCTCCTCCTCCTCCTCCTAACTCTGAGGTGCCAGTCCTGAGCGTTGAACTCCAGGCCTAGGCCAACCATCCGCGGGGGTCTGAGCGGCGTCCGCTGGGCCTTTGCATCGGCTTGCAGTATCCCCCCTTCGCTCCTTCTCCTCCTTCTTCTCCTTCTCCTCCTCCTCCTCTTCTCCCGCCTCATCTCGAGCACCGGCTCGAGGCTTGTCCGTAGCATTTTTGCTCTTGGATGTGGCCTCAGCGAGTCTGGGCCCTGCGCATCACGGGGCGCATGGGAGGCGACGTGGCAGCCGCAGGCAGTACTGCAGCTCTTCGCACCGGCGGAGCAGAACGAGTATGAGCGAATACGGCTTCGGCCTGGCACTGCAACTTCACCCGTCAAACCTGGGATGTTTTCGCCGGGGCCTTCTTCAATGGTTCGTTCTCTGTTCATGACAGTCTCCTGGTGCTGCTCCCGTAGATCTCTCCCCATGGGTTATGCCGTGCAGGGGAGGGGCCTGCGGTGCCCAGTCAGTGTGTGCTGAAGTTTCGCTTGTTGCCGTTTCACGCACGCCGGGCATGCATCTCAAACCTTGGGGTGCCATCGCTGGAGCTTTGTTCAATCATTGATTCCTGTGTTGTTTTGGCCATCGATGTCTGTGCTGTCTTGCTCCTTTTCCCCATGGCTCTCGGGCTCCTGTTTCAAACCGTGCTGGGGTGAAGGCCTGGAGAGCTCAAGGCTGCTCGGATACTGTTTTGGTCGGCTGTCTGTTCGTGTTCATTTGGAGTTCAACAACGCTTTTCTTGCGTGCTTGAGCATGGCTCAATGGCTTTTTGTCAGTGTACCGTGCGTAGTGCCACGTTCGTGCAATCAACTTTGTGGGTTTCGCGCTCTTTGTTGGATTGGGAGATGTTTTCTGCGATGTGATGTGGCGCCGCGGCCTCCGTACACGCCTAGGCTTTCTGCGTGGGCTTCATCTTCTTCGCTATATCAATCGTGGCGTGCTTCTCCAACAATACAGCTTGTATCCGCTCTCGGTGGCTCGGTTTGGAAGGGGTGAGCATCTTCAAGGGGGGCTCATTTGGTGGTATCACGTTGTTTTCGTCGTGTTCCACAAATATATTGACTGGCTCCACGGGTGGGCCTCCTGTTCTTCGTCGCCGCGGTGCTCATCGAGTTCAGGGGGGTGGGCATGCTGTTTTACATCATTACGTAATGGCAGACTCTCTAGAATCTCTCTTCTCCCGCCTTCTCCTCCCCCTCCCCTCCCACCTCCTCCTCCTCCTCCTCCACCTCCCCTCTCCCTCTCCTCCCGCCTCCTCCTCCTCCTCCTCCTCCTCCTCCGCCTCCTCTGGCCCCCGCTGGCTCGAGCGTGGCGTTCAAGGCCAACCATCGCCACGCGTGCCGCACTGGCGGCGCCACCCACCATCCCCTCGCCGTCCCAATACCCCCTCAGTCGACATGGAGCCGGCTACCGCGCACGGGAGCTCCGCTCTGAGGGGCGAGCTGCAGAGCAGCCGCCGTCAGCCTTCGTGGCGCTCGGCAGCCACGTAGGCTCCGCGCCGACCCGCCTGGGCGCCGCCCTGGCCGAGAAGCTGCGGGCTTCGGAGGCGCCAGCCGCGCGCAAGGCTCAGGGGGCCGATGATGCAGAGCTGGCAACTGCAGACTCGGCCCAGGCCCAGGCGCACTCGGCGGCCGAGGGCACGGAACTGACCCCGCGCCAGGCGACGGAGGCGAGCCAGAGGAACGCGCCGGCTTCAGCTGGCCCGGGGCGCTTCCTGTGGCTGCCTGGACCAGCAGGCACAGCGGGCAGCAACGGAGGCCGATGCACAGACGGCGCAAGAGGCCGTTGTTGCGAGGGCAACCGCCGGGAGGGCGACAGCCGCGGGAGCGACACCGGCTGCGGCCCTCGCGCCAGCCGCGCGGCCGGCGACGCTGACGAAGCTGGGGCTGGAGGCGCGAGCGGCGCCAGCGGCGAGCCCGACAGCCGCGCATGGCCGCTGAGCGGGGCGCACCACGCAGAAGTCGCTGCCGACGCGAGAGGAGGCGCGCAGGCAGGACATGGGGAGAGGCCGAGGCGCGCTTCGAAGAGCTCGAGCGGCGGCCGAGGAGGCAGCGACCGAATGTGCGGGCCACGGCCCAACCCGACGGACGCCAGCCGCCCCGCGACAAGCTCCCGCGCCACCCGCAACGCCACCCACGGGAGCCCTGCCGAGAGAGCGGGCGCGTCCTCGGTGGGGGGGGGGACAAGGCAAGCAGGTCGGATCACACCGTGTGCCGCCCCACGCGCGCGCGCGCGGCCGAAGGCCCCCCCCCTCGAGCGGGGGCTGCCTCTGCCCGAGGGGCGGGGCCGGCCGCACGTCGCGCCGCCGCTCGGCCACAGGCTGCGGAGGATTTTCCGAGGAGCATGCCTCCTCTGGCCAGCTCCTCCTCCACTTCCTTCTCCCCTCCACCTCCGCCTCCTCCTCCGCCTCCTCCTCCTCCCTCCTCCTCCTCCTCCTCCTCCTCCTCCTCTCCCTCCTCCTCCTCCTCCTCCTCCTCCTCCTCCTCCTCCTCCTCCTCCTCCTCCTGCGCAACTCCTCCTACGCTTCTACGCAGCCTCCTCCTGGTCATCCTCCTCCTCATCCTCTCCCTCCGCCTTCTGCCACCTCCTCCTCCTCCTCCTCCTTCTCATGCTAAACCTCTTCCTCCGCCGCCTCCTCCTTACAATGGTTCCACTCAAGTTGCGGGAAACGGCTCTGCTTCCTGGCACAGACCAATCGTGAAGCTTGCGCAGGCCCAGTCGGCTTCCCCCCGCAACGAGTCCACCGACCCTCTGGGCACTGGTGCGGAAGATGTCTGCCCCCTCCGCCGACCACTCCGACAGGGGCCGATGTCAACATCTGTGAGGTGCTATCCCGAGCGTAGGGCGTCAACAGTATACCTTCACCGATTCTGGCCAGGCTCCCTGGGCCCAGGATCAGTGCATACGTAAGGTTCGAGTGTGCTCTTCTCGAGTAAGGTAATAGTAGAAGGGTGCAAAGGGAGGAGAGGGGAGGGACTGAAGAGGAGAAGTGGGGAGGAGGGATAGGGTAATCATGATTAGCAGGCGGAGGAGGATGAGGCTGGGAAGGAGGAGGAAGAGAGGAGTAGGAAGGATTCGCCCACCCGACGGTCCGAATGCGTGCAAGAATTTCCAGTGAGAGGTTCAGAGTATGACCAGATCGCGCGCACGCGCGGGGCGGCGTGGGGATTCCCCGACGAGAAGTACCCGTGGTTCAGCCCGGCAGGCTCTCCCCGGGCATGGTTCTACTCCCGGGCGCCGCCTCGAGGACCTCCAAGACAGCCCACGATCGCCCCAGCCCCGAGATGGCTCAAGAGCTCTCCAGGACGGCCCAAGATGGTCTTAAGGTGGCCCAGGAGGCCCCCAACAGGGTCCAAGAGCGCTCCAAGGCGGCCTCAAGCCAGCCCGAGAAGCTCCCTAGACAACACCATCGCGGCCGAAGAGGGCACCAAGAGAGCCCCACGAGGTGAACGTAATGGGTCCCCCGTCAGTTTCCCAATGGTTTGACACTTCTCGCTCTTCCAAGCTTCCAACAGCCCAAGACAGCTTCCGATATCGCTCCAAGACGGCCCGAGAAGCTCCCAAGAAAGCCCAAAGACGATCCACTAGGCCCCCACGACGGCCCGAGATGCCCCCGGGATGACGGGGAACGTGAAGTGACATCTGGAGCACTTTCCTCCCAATATGGCCTCCGAGGCCGCCAGCAGGCCCCTAGGAGCCTCCTGGAATCCCCTAAGAGGACCCAACAGGCCCCCCAATAGGCCCTCAAGAAACCTGCAAGATGCCCCCCAGAGAGCCCAGAGAGGCCCGTAAGAGAGGCCCCCCCCCGCAAGAGATCTCGAGCAGCCTCCAAGAGCCCCACAAAAAGCAAGCAGGGCCCCCGCGAGGCCTCAGCAAGCCTCTTGCAAGTGTGCAGCAGTTCGACCACGGCTGGAGGTCGGTTCCTTTTCTTAGACACCAGCGAGCAGGCGGCAGGTGCACGGACGGAGGGCGATTCCTCTCCAGCACTGAGCTCTCGCTTGGGAAGGCCTCGTGCCATCACGTGCAGCGGCCCTGCGTGCACCCCCGTGCCACGGCTGCATCGGTGCGGGGGCGACTCCGCCTCAAACCCGGGGCTCTCGCTGGACACCAGCACGCGGGGCTCCTCCTCCTCCTCCTCCTCCTCCTCCTCCTCTTCCTGTCGATCCTGTCGATCCTTGCGCAGCCGAGTCCCTCCAGGCGAGAATACAGGGCGGCGGGCGACGGCAGGGTCCTCGGCCGACTGGCAGGCCCACGAGTGCTCGTCTCGCAAGGGGTGCGCGCGCCCGTGGAGAACGGTAAAGCCTGCAGGGTCTGGCGAGGAGGGCACCCGGGACGGAAGGGTCTCTTTGCAGCATCGCGGACGCTTCCTGGGCTCACTCTGGTCCTCCCTCCCCTCCTCGCTCCTCGTCCTCGTCCCTCCCTGTCCTCGTCTCTCCTCGTCCTCATCCCTCCTCGTCCTCGTCCCTCCTCGTCCTCGTCCTCGTCCTCCGGCTTCCCCCACGAGAAGAAGCACCATCTGCATAGCGCGCGCTCTCTCTCTCTCTCTTTCTCTCTCTCTCTCTCCTCTTGGACCGTCCCTCTCCCCCTCCCCCTCCCCCCTCCCCCTCCCTCTAGATCCTCCCCCCCCGCCCCCTGGCGGGTCCAGCGCCGATCTAAAGAATCCGCACGGACCTCAGAGCATATGTGAGCGTCGACCAAAAACGTCTTATGCGAGATGGCATAGCGACCTTACGCGGTGGCTTACGCGGGCTGCTAGTGCGGCACGCTGCGCTGGAAGCGAGGGCGCTTACGCGCGACTTTACGCGAACAGCTCGCGCGCCAATGTCGGCGCCGTCGACCCCCTTTTTCTCCGTCGCTCATCTGTTTTTGGGCACTCTTTCTCCGTCGACTGAGGGGGACGGCAATGGGAGAGATGGTCATCACGCCGAGCCCTCAATGCTGGCGTCAGAGGCCCCTGCTGCTGCCCCCCACTCTGGCTGCCACGGAGGGGGCAGGGCGTGGACAAAAAGAGCTTGGCCCCCAGAGGCTGGACTTTCATCCATGCCCAGGGGAAGTACTCGCAAATGGCCTGGATCCGCCGCAGGTGATCTACGATCCACGACTTCGAGGCGAACCTGTTTTTTGTTCGGACGTCTGCGAGTAGGCACTTTGCGAGTAGTGGGACGCGCTCGGTGACTCGTAGAATTCTGGCGCAAGCCAGGGTATGAGGAGGTGGCAATCGCCCCTCGTCCCTCCTCCTGTGCGCCTGCTGGAAGGCCCTGCCGCGGGCAGCCTCCTCCTGTGCGCCTCCCTCTTCCTCTTCTTCTTCCTCCCTCTCCTCCCCCTCCTCCTCCTCCTCCTCCTCCTCCTCCTCCTCCTCCTCCTCCTCCTCCTCCTCCTCTCTCCTCCCTCCTCCTCCTCCTCCTCCTCTCCTCCTCCTCCTCCTCCTCCTCCTCCTCCTCCTCCTCCTCCTCCTTCTCCTCCTCCTCCTCCTCCTCCTCCTCCTCCTCCTCCTCCTCCTCCTCCCCCTCCTCGTCCTACTCCTCCTCCTCCTCCTCCTCCTCCTCCTCCTCCTCCTCCTCCTCCTCCTCCTCCTCTGCCCGCCCCCTGATAGGGCGGCAGCGCCCTCTCGCCGAGGCCCCCGCCCCGCTTGCCACCTCGCAAATGGCCCGTAGCTGCGCCTTCGCCTTCCGCTCCTCCTGGCGCACCCGCTGCATCTGCGCCCGGAGGCGCAGGTTCTCCACCTCGGCCGCCGCCGCCGCGGTGCTTGGTGCGTTGGTCGAAGAACAACAACCAGCATTAGGCCTAGCTTTTCGGAGCTCCGCGCAGATGTCCTGGATCGCCAGAGAAGGGGGCCCAACGCCGATCCAAGAAACCCACTGGGAGCTCGGAGAAAAGATGTTTATGCAATGTTTTCTTCTTCGAGCAGTGGCCGCCGCTGCCGCGGTGCTTCATGCACTGGAGCAGCTCAAGAGGCCCTCAAAACCGCCCAAGCGCGCCCGGAGAGGGCCCCGAGAGGGCAGCGGTGTTTCGTGATTCGGGACTCGCGCGGAGGCGAGGCTGGCCTCGCGGTCTTGATGCTTCCCGACGGCCATCACGGGGGGCAGCCGCGTGCGATCTCGTGCGCTCTGGCGGAGGAGGCTGCAGCAGGTGCGGGCCGAAGATGCGAGGCCTCCCTTGTCTTGCCGTCCTCGGCCCCAGGGGGCCCTTGCCGGGCCCCAGGGCCGTCAACAAAAAAATCCCGGGATGAGAAGGCCGGTCCAAGATCCAGGCCTGGTCGTCACCATTACCCAGGGGGTGGCCTGGGTAGCAACCTCCACGCGACAAAACATACCACAACAATCTCTTGGAGCTTCCGGGAACCCCGCGTTGAAAAAGTAGCCCGGCGAAGGAAGTGAGGGATGGACCCTGGGGCAGTGCGGATGGGGCCCGCGAAACGTGAGAGAGGGGTGAGCCGAAGTGAGGCGTGGCAGCGCCATTCGGACCCTGCCACTGGGGTCCTCGGTGTTATGAGGCCCCCACCGGCGATCATTGGGAGATTGGGGTTCGATGCGTTCCCCCCTGAGCCGTTCCCCCCCAAACGTTGCCCCTGGGGCACGCTGGGTCAGCACTCGCACCCGGCGTGCCACGACGACGTATGCCGGCATCGTGGCCTGAATCTCCGACGTCGTGATCTCATCAAGACGTGGGCCCTCAGAACATCTCTACCCCCGCTTTCGGAACCAGCGTTTCTTGCCCGGGGTCGTCTGGTGATGGCCCACGGCCCCCCGTGGGGGCTGAGACGACGAAACAAAGCCGCCGGTTTTGATATCTTCGCGACGTCTGGAAGTGCATTGGCACACCCGAAGTGGCTACGGAAAGAATGGGCACGCTGCCCCACAGCAAGTGTTGGCTGAGAGCCGACGGCGGCCCCTGTGGGGCAGGCGACCTCCTGCCTCGGATGGACACAGTCCGCGGCGACACCGACAGCGGGTCCTGCTCGAATAGAGGCCTCCTAGATGGGGTCCGAGTAGATGGGGCAGGAGGATCGCACCGCATCGCCAATGCGTCGGCGATGCATCGGCGATGCATTGTCGACGACATCGCCGATGCATCGGCGCCGTCGGCGTGGAGAAAGTCGGGCTCCACATCGAACCGCATCGCCGATGCTCGTCGAGGCGGCGCGATCCTCCGATCCCATCTGCTCGGACCCCGGCTGGGAGGCCTAGATCGCAATGGCTGGTGCTGACAACCCTGACCGCCAGCATGCTGCCCTGTTCGGGGCGCATCGTTTACTTCCGCGGCCCCCCGCCGGGGGAAGAGCTGCCAGCTTTCGGTCGGGCATGTCCTCTCCTGCAGGCGGACGTTGGAAGCACAACCCAAAGCCAGGCCAAGATTGTCAAGCGTAGCCCAAGGAGCACGACAAGTCGTCACCACTATTTTTTTACTATTCTTGAATCTTCCTCCTGTAGAGGGACATGCCCGACTTAGTTGCCGGCTCCTGCGATCCTCGAGGGCGAGGCCCTCTCCCGAGGGCCGCAGGGGGACCACGCCCGCAGCGTCGCCGACAGCGAGCCCTGTCCGACCTGGGCAGGAGCTGCTGCTGGCCTTCGTCGCCTCTCTCGGGTGCCCAATTCGCTCGTGCCGAGTGCAAGCGTGTCGCGCGTCCGCGCCGCGGGCAGGGGGAACCTCCCGCAGGCTGCCGCGCAGAGCCCGGCGCAGTGGAGCCCAGAATCGAATCGACGAGTCGGATCGGTGATCGAAATGGATCGGATCGGTGGAAAACTGGCAGCCGAGTCGGGCAAAGTCGAATCGGCGGAAATCAGAAGGCTAGTAGGCCGCCTTAGTAGGCCTCCATTGGGAAATCGGATCCCAGCTCGGAATCCGAAATCGAATGGAATCGGAGTCGGGAATCATCGAAATCGAATCATACCGAATCGGAAGACTCGCAATAAGCCCTGCAGCGGGGTCTCCCCGCCTTCAGCGCGAAGGTGGCCGAGAACTGGCAGCTGGGGTCGGCCTCCTCAGCGGGGGGAGGGCTGGGATGGAATGGACCCATGGCCAAGCGAAGTGGCATTGCCCGACCACCACCCAAA